TGTTTGTATTGACTTACTAAGGAGAGTTTGAAATTCTTGACTCTGGCTAAAATATATTATGTGTGACGTCAAATTTATGAACAATATACTTAATTTAGATGAAATAATGAGCACTTGAGAACTGTAAATTTATTAAGTTTTCTTGAGTTCATTATTTCAGCACCTGACTTGACTTTTATCTCTCGGGGATGAATTTATTTCATAGACTCCACTACATTTGTAAGACAAATATCCTACTTGTACAGTTACCTTTGCTACGTTTGCTTTGAGATCAGCTGTTGAATTTTAGTTCCTATGATCAGATCTGAAAAACAGTTCTGCACATGGTTTGTCAAAGTGGTGTTGCCGTACTTCTACGATGCACATCTCCATTGTTGAACTTACAGTAGAGCATACACAGAACAAATGTCACTCAAATCGGGCAGTTCATTAAGTGGTGGTCATAACGTCTGTGGAAGAGAAGGATGATGATACTCCACCTGAGTACCCATGGTCAAAGCTCAGGACATTATTTACTCTAAATTAAATACATTTTAAACCAAATTGTCTGTTCTTGTTTTAACTTTAAACTGAAAATCTGGAAATTTGCTGCATGTGAGTTTATAAAAAGGCAAATACATGATACAATTCATCACCCGATTCTCCTGTACTTCAACAAGAGTAACAATTCAACTGAGCACTTCTACTTGATGGTAATATTTGACTAGGAGTATTTATGAATACTTTGACTTAAGTGACAATGTTCTATACTTTGTCCGTCACTGGTGACAAATTATCCACCACACTTGTCATTTTTAAGACAGAACTAGAAAAACAGTCTGGATTTTGTTCAGAATGTGTTTTTGTCTGTAAGATTTAAAGAGTGAAAAGTTGGAGAACCTTTGAACTTATACGCACAGAAGGTCATGTTCACATGGCGGAGCCTCCTTATAGTTGCTGTCCCGTGTGCTGCTGATTAATCACAGCATCGTGACATGTATCTGGCTTCAGCCCAAAGGAGATGTGTGAGGCATGCAGTGTCTCAGCACTTCTGCAGGAGCTCCTGTGAACAGGATAGATGGTGTAGGGGGGTGAGTTGGTTGGAGGAGACGGGTGGAGACAAGTGGACAGTTGCGTGGACAGACTTTAGACTCTGAATGCAAGAGTCTGATGCGGCGCAGGCGGTATTTACGCTCTGACGGCTGCAGGATCCGGGAGCCGGATATATTTAGCCGCCTAGAGATATCACGCCGAGATGAGATTTCAAAGTGAAGTACCTGTTTGAAGATGCATGGCATTCCACAAGGGTGGGCAAGGGCTGCTGGGTATAAATCTAGCACCCCTGCACCTGGTGTGAAGACAGGGAGAGAGAGTGACACGCAAGATTTAGAGTGACTTACAGACAAGACGTACATGTGTAAACTACACACTCATCCATATAAATTTACACACTTCCTATGAATGGAAAGGCCTGAACACTTCACTTTTTAGCTCCACACATATTGTGCATATAACATGTCTTCCTGCGTCTCTCCCCTTTTGTAAAATCTAATTCTTCTGAATGCTCGCCATGTCATCCATCATGGTCTGATCTTGGCTGGAGGAGATCCTCTGAACCATTTTTAGAGCATGTGGAGGGGATAGAAGCAACACTGTGGTACATCAAAGTCCAATTCTGCAGTTTGACTGTTGAACAAGAATTTGATTGTTTCGTCATGGAAAGAGAATTGAGATTCATGTTTGTCCTGATCTGTCAGATCAAGAATTGAGGATTTATAAGTCACAAAGATCCCAGATCTGCCAAATGCTGAGTATGAAGAAATTTGTGTTGTTCGACAATTGTACCACCGCACACCCCCCCCTGTGTGAGGCGTCTTGGGCAGCTGAGAGCTGTGCCCACCACAGAAGGAGAAAACTGTAAACCTGAAACCAAGAGAAGATGTCCTGGGGTGGATTGTTATTTGGAACCCATGTCATTTAAGGCAAGACCAGTAAATCGATATATGTTTGTAGTCAGGGACTTCAGAGCCAAATTTCATTATATTCAAATGTTCTCTGATACTTTGATTTCACTTGTTTTCCAAATGATTTCTTTCTTTCTTCCTTTATTTTATAATGATTACATATTTTGACACTTCTGATCCCTTTACATCATGTTTCCTTTAATGCTCACATCATAGCTTTCTGTAAAGCATGGCAATTTGCACAATAGCAGTGCTTAATTCAATTGAATTGCATCGTCATACAGTCAAGGAACCTAAAATAATGATAAAGAACAAGATCAAACTTTATTAACACAACATGAACAAAATGTGCACAAAAAATGCTGTCAGAGCTGAACACTTGTGCAGGATGATGCAAAATGATAGTGAGTGCAGATTTATTAGTGTACAAAAAATATAACTAAGATCAGTCTCAATCAATGAATCCCTCTTTATATAGAAAATTCCAGTGTATTCATCCCAGTGTTTTACAGTCTGTATTTTTAAAGTATCAACCTGTCTGTTCTTAGTTGGGCTGTCCCGATACGATATTGATATTGATATCGATATCGGATATTGGCCTGATATCAGCCAAAAAAAAAAAAAAAAAAAATCGGATTATATCGGCCTACATCTAAAATCTGCGATATCAGCACTCTGATACAAGCAGTCCATTCCAGACTCTGCTCTGGCACCTCTAGCTAGCAGCGCCCAGATCCAGCAAGCTGAGCCCACAAACGGCTGACGGCTGTGTGGCAGTATTTTTTGCTGGCAACTGAGTGCAAAACTTATCATGCGCAAGTTTGTGCCCATAACAGATCAATATTGGTATCAGCCAATACTGAAGGCTACAATATCTGCATCGTATCGGAAGTAAAAAAGTTGTATCGGGACACCCCTGGTACTTGGACATCATCTTTGGTCCGTGGTGAAGTCTGAAGGTGTCCTTTCTCTGGTGGTGGCTGTGGGACCAGACCTATCAAGGGGACTGTTACAAACACAAGTATGATTTTAAGATAATGGAGAAACTTTGATGACCCCCTTCAGCGTGGATCCTTCCAGTGACCACATGCTGCAAGCCAGTCCCCCTTGTGGGTGACACCAAAATAAAACTTTTACTAGGGTTTCAGACTTTTATGTGCATCCGTCCATATTCACACTCCATCCACCCATCTGTGTGTCTTTGGAACAAATGAATGACTCCCATGGACCCCCTCTTTGTTAGGAATTTGCTCAGCTGCAGATTACATTTTCAGGAATCTGCAATGCCACTGACACTTTCGACAGCTGTGTTAAACGGGTGGGCATGGATGTCTGTCTGTGTGTGTGTGCCTGTGTGTGTGATTAGCTAGCTTTGTAAAGCCACCACACGCTTATTGCTTTTCCCCTGAGTCTGTGACTCATTAATCAAATATTCATACATGCCCTGTAAATACATGGAGAACACAGTCAGCCCTCTGAGCGCTGCGTGCCCCCCAGCACAAATGCTCTTTCATGTCCCAGACAAAAATCCCCAAATGTCCCGTTTCAGCCTTCCAAACTCGGAGAATGTGGCCGGTCTTCTGTGCATACTTGATGTTCCCGCTCTGTCCACACAGCCGGTCAACCGTCTGCTCACAGAAAAAGACATGGACGAACTCGCAGATCAGACAGGAGGTCTAAATGATGCCTTTATGTGTTTTGCCTGTGCTTCTCCATGGTGCTGAGGAGAACAGTCGGGGGATTCTTCCTCTCTGTCCGTCCGTCCTCACCCTTGCCCTGGCTCCCTCACAGAAGAGACAGTTCTCTCCTTTAAAAAGCACGGCTCATCATAATACAAGAATTTGTATTGTACAGGAAAACAGTCAGGCATAGCTCAAACTAAGGGGGCAACACACAGATTATCCATGGTAACAGAGCTTTGCACACAAGGATATTTTCTTTTCCTCCACAGAGGAACACAATTGCCGCCAGTGTCACTGGGTCACATATTTTCCGGTCCCTGGTTAATGGGCTGTAGAGATGGTTAGCACGTACGATTAGTTTTAATCTACAACATTTGACTGGGAGAGAAAGGGATTGAATACATTTCAACACACCAGTGAGGTTTGAATCTTGCAGGGAAAATGCGGCAAACAATTTTTTATTCTACTGGAGTCTCTTTGTATGACGGAGGATCAGGGCGTCATTGAGGATACTATTTTGAGTTTAACAAAAATATGAAAAATCAAATTTTTTTAAAGATTAAAGTCCAGAGAGAAAAAAAAGAGTCGTACACGTCAGAAAATAAAAAAATGATAACGTCATGTTATTTAACTGACTTCAAGCTGTTTATGAAATTTTCCAGGTTCAACTACGTCTTTTGAATACTGCTTTTTTATTTAAGGATTACATTGGCAGGAATGATTCCAAGAACACCAAGTGCTATCTCAATTTCTTGAGCTAAGGTTAGTCTTGTCTTGCTCTTAAGTCAGGTCACTGCATGTTTTTTCTGCAAAGCCCCAGAGAAATTTCCACATTGTAGACAAAGAAGGTTTTCTCTTTCAAAGAAAATTGTAAATTAAGAGATTCGACACATAGAATTACAAGATTAGATCCGTAAAAGACTGAGGTCGGTCACAGGCTTAGGCTAATCTACAGTATGTGTGGGCTGCAATAACATTCAGGTTGATGTCCGTACAATAAGGAAAGTGGATGATCTTGTGAAGGTAAACTCAACAGTTCAGGACAAACAGTGGTTGCACATGTGCTTATGTAGGCTGCAACTAACTTGTGATAATGTGGTTGATGTGCTTCAAGATTGGGTGTTGGGTAAATCATGAAACCTGCATGAAAGAATCACGAGACGCTCCTAATTTTAATACATGCAGCTCTTCTGGTTTCCTTCAGAATAACTTACAGGTGAACACAGTCTGAAAATACTTTTTTTTTTTCCTCACAGGTGTACGACGTCATTCTTATTCTTTATTCTTTCAAAGTTTTCTTTTCTTCTGCAGTATAGTGCCTCAAACACTCACTCGTATCTCTAACTATTACAAGCAGGTGAAGAAAGAAAACTCATTAACAAAGTCAAACATTTTGACTTTATTCAACTTTTTGTCTTTCGGTGTTAAAAATAATTTTACATTTTTTTATGTTAATGAATAATCCTGCAGGAAATTAAAAGAAAACAAACTGTTAATTTCATATAGCACATTACAAAATAAATATTGCTGTAGAGGGTTAATACGTCATTAGTTACTGATTTCTACTGTTTAAAAAAATCAACTTGACAGTACCTTTCTATTCCCTGAATCTCAAAGTGTTTTTTTATTGTTCTTCAGAGATAATGCTGAGTGAAATTATAGCACCAGGTTTCATCCTGCGTCACACAACTCAGTCAAACTTCATTCAACTCAAAATACACACTACAGCAAGCAAACAGACATATTATCAGGCTAAAGTGTCATCGATTATTGCATAGAGAAAGAAAAGGAGTTCAAGTGTAAGTAGAAATGAATTTTGGCAACATTATAAACAAAGTTTGCTTCAAAGCATGTGTCTCATGTGCTTCTGTTGTTTTGGCTGAGACGTTTGGAGGAGTTACTGAAAATACACTTCAGGTAGACCTTAAAGCTTAATGATTCATGCTTTTACAGTACTGCTTTAGTCAAACCCTAACCTGCACACAGTCTAAATACTGTAGGTGTGGCTCTGTTGGCAGGGCTACATTTATTAATGTCTTCACTTCTACTGTTGAATGGCACTGACAGTCATGCAAATGCTCATCATGTTTAAAAATGCTACATTATCTAAGGTGCAAGTCCATAAAAATAACAGATAATGATGAGGATTTATCTTGACGTTCCTCATTTCTTAAGAGGTTAAAAAAAGTTGTTGAATTACACAGGAAAAAAAACGCACAATAAAGTGTCCCAAAGTTTCCTGTGAAAATGCTCTGGAAACTCATATTACAAGGTAACAAATAAAAGTCTGAAAAGTTTCCAGGGTGTTTAAAAAAAGTTCCTTAACCTTCAGTGTCACAACAGGCTCAGTCTCAAGGTTTTGGATATGAAGCAGTTTGATTCATTATAAGAAGTTCCCTGTCAGTAGTAGTTCTGAACAGCGCTGTCAAAGCAGCACAAAGTCTCCGGCAGTGGTCACCGTCCTCCGCGGGTCACGGATGAAGGGCCACTCTCTCTTCTCCGGGGTCAGGCCAGCCGACAGGTCGTAATCTCTGCCGTGACCTTGCACGAAAGTGAACGCGGGGTATTTCTCCTTCGCTGACGGCTGCAGCACCTGGATCAACAACAGAGGAGTGTTTCACAGAAGAGCTTTTGTTACACCATTACTTTATGTTTTAAAACTGTTTGCATTGAATTTCATGATTTGATGAAATGAGGGGTATTTAAATAACTCATTTTAATTTTGGTCTATCTTGCAAACAGACCTTACTTTAAGTGACTCAAATTTGATGAATTCTCACACATATCTATTTTTATATCATTTCTAAGGGGTCTATTTAGCAGTAGCATGATAGGTAGTACCCATCATGGTTCATAACGTCTCTCCAGCATGTTGACTGGTCTGAGATGCAAAGTATGATTTCAGATTCATGGCTAAATGCTGCCACCTAGTGGTGAATTTTATCATGTTACCTACACATTTCAGTGCTCAAACTGAATTCAGATGCTTCATATTAAAACTAACTGAAATACTGGCAGCATTATTAAAGTTTTTAAGAAAGTGTTTAGTAGGAGTCCTCGTTCTCTTACTTTAGACAGCTCTTGTCTGATTTTTTCAAAGTCCTGAGCACTTCTTGAGTAGAAACCGATGGTGCAACTTGGGTCCATCTTGTGGAAAGGCATCTTCTTCGGAGAGGGGCAGTGATATGACTACAGGAAAAAAAAAGACAAAGCAAATTAGGAAATATTCATCAAATTGACAGGTCACATGATGAGCAACAACTGCAGGACATACATATACTCCATGGCAGTGTCAACAGCAACTAAGATGTATTTTGTATCATTTGAGATAGGAAATCCTATTCATCTGCTGTCACAGCATAAATTTACACCTGCAGTGTGTTGTCACATTGTATACCACTGCATGCAAAAGCATAAAACAAAGTTGCTACACAGCGCTCTGTGCGATTTTTTATGTATGGGTCCTGAAATATTCACGCTCACAGTATCTGATCCAGTATTTGCCGTATTTCTCTGAAGTGGCAGCTCCACACATCTGAGCAGCAAATAAATCAGCAGATAGAGACTGTGTAATTGGGCTGAGGGCCACTATAAGATTCATACCTTTAAGTACTAACAGAAACTATTAAATTCACATTACAGGAGCCCCAGTCAGCTCGTCTGTGTAATTTCACATTACCTGGAGAGGGAAATCGCTGGTGCTGACATCCACAAAAGACTGACAGTAATGAGGGTCCATGTAAATCAAGCTGTCATCTGCAAGGACAAAACAAAAGACAAGTTATTCAAAAACATCGGATTATTACAAAAACGCGCTTATCTCCAATTTCTATGCAGAGTAGCTCAAAGTCACCCGCTCTGCCTATTGTTGGGCTTGTGTGCGTCAAATATGCCTCCCAGAAGGTTGTTGCTTTTTAATATCCACCGGAGTGGATTAAATTCTGCATAATCAGATGCATTTGTACAAGAACATTCTTTACACACAAAAAAGAGGCTGTCATTTAATTTTTGTGTGCGGGAATTACTTTTACAAACACGCAATTATATTGGAGCATTTGCATATGATAAATGCAGAGCGGAGCTGCGCCCTGGCAGGGAGAATGTATTGCTTGTCATTTAGACATCATTCACCACTGTATTTCAAATTGGTAAAATGTAAATGCGTAAATATTGACTGCCAAGATGTACAACTGAAGGTTCCTCCTGGCTCCTGAAGGTGATGAAGAGTGGCTCACTTTGGGGCCAGAATGAAATTTAATGCATGCCTCCTATGGAAATCAATTACTGCTCACAACTTGGGAGGTTTACTTGTGATAAATGGGCGAGGCTTTGATGGGTCAGAGAGAATAAAGTAAGCCCTGCTTCACTTGCTTCCATCTCCACTCCTCTCCGTTTTCCTCACGCAAACAGGAATACATTAACTTACTTTGTCTCTCCTCATAAGAAGGGTACATTATGCAAAATAATCTTAGTCACACCAACCTCTCTCTGTGTCTTCCTCTGTTCTGCATTAGGCTAACACTAACCTTGAAATCCCACAAAGTAGCAGGCCTGTTTAGGCTTCCCTCCGATGATGCCAATGCAGTACTCCAGACTCAGTATGCTCTAAAAACACAAATATACAAAAGCTGCTTTAGTTTCCCTCCCCATGTTCAAAACAGATTTTTTCCTCATATTTCTAGTATAATAATCACTCTTGAGTGTTTGTATTAATTCTGTAATAAAATACCAGAGTCAAATCAGAAGCCACCAGAACAACATGCATGCCCCACCTTTGTGAAGTTAAAATAGTCTGGGTTTGTCTTCTCCCCGCCCAGCCGAACGGGGACGAGGATGATGACGGCTCGGCTGGATGGAGGCGCTGGTTGGTTGTTTTGTGGAGAATCGGAGGCCTGTCTGTCTTTGGGTTCCCTGTGGCTATCCATGACATCAGCACTGTACACTGTAGAGGATCGATAATTCAGAGGTCAGATATGGGTCGTCTGTCTGTCTGTCTCTGTGTCTGACCTGTTTATTTGGGCATCAGTTACTTACTGATCAGTTACATCAGTTATTTGGGCATTTTTGGCAGCCTCTGTATCCTCTATATCTGTGTAGTTATTTTTAAAAGTGGCTCTCAACTATGTTTTTTTAATTTCATAAATAATAAATTTGTTCGATTTTTTCTTTATCATTTAAACTTTATTAAAACGTACTTGATCCATTTGCCAGAGAGGGTTTTGTATACATCCTCAGTGTCATTTCAGTTTAGAAAATCTCACATTTTTTCTTGAAATTGAACAAAAAACACATTTCCCACTGTAACCAAATTGTGCACAATACTTTAAATTTGCTTCTTTATGCAAAATCACAGAATTTTAAACATGTAGTTAAAATGAGATGATTAACCGCTGTTAAAAAATCAATCATATGACAGCCATAAAAAATAATCACATCCTCTTAAGTGCAGTGGATAGAGTTGGTTCCATCTTTGTTAAAAACAAAACACCAAAACATTTGGTTCCTGCTGGCTGTTCTATTCTCTGGCAATAGAGAAGACAAACGTGTCTCAAAAACCACGTTATTGGGTCTGGGAAAAGTTTGGAGTGGGACGTTATTGGTTTTTATAGCAGATGGGTTTGTTGGTGAATAGACACGGTGAGACCCTTGTCAGCTGCAGAGTCTCACAGCAGCAAAAAGAAGGTGGAAAAAGAAGGGTCAGTTTGGGCGCCGTGCCCAGTATCCTGTTCCATCAACTGCAGGCTCATCTTTCATACCTGTACAGTCCTGGGAGACATAAGCAGTTATACCCGCCAAGCCTGGGTCCATCGCTTCTTCAACAGCTTTCCTAAGGGAGGGACAGAGGAGAAAGAGAGAAAATAACCAGAGATAGGTGGCCGTTTTAAAAGTTCACATCCTTAAGTGTTTGAACATAGATGGCTTGATAGGTCCCCAGGAGTGAAGCCAAAATATTTCAAGGGTTAAAATGGTTTCACTATAAAAATTATAATAATGTTTTTTCTCAAACATGCCTTCTGTCAAAGTAGTTAGTTCGATTATGCTGATCACTTTTTGGAGAAGTTAGGTTAAAATAAGAATAAGAAGAACTTTATTAACCCCCGAAGGGAAATTTAATATTAATAACGTTATATTTATATAAACAAGATCATTTAACTGTCTGATAAGTGATTTAGATAATTAACTAGACAGTCATCAGACAGTGGTTGGTCACAGCTTCTTAAGAATTTGGGCTCTATTTGCGTGGTGCAGGCACGGCGAAAGTCAGGTCCGCAGTGCTGATAAGGCATGCCCAAGCACACTTTGGTGTTTTGGTGAGCGGCGCAATCAGGCGTAAGTATCCCCCCTCCCTAACTTGGCTCCTCCCAGCGGCGTGAGTCGTAGAGAGGGAGGAGAGAAGGTGTGGAGTGGGTTTAACACGGCCGAGACCTGTTTTCACCAATCACATCAGCTCTTCTGCTTATCTTTACATCCACCACCGGCAAGGCGTATTACAATTTTCGTGCAGTAGTCGAAGAGATCAAGAGATGGATGAAGACAGCAATGCCACACGATGGCGACAGAAGACACCCCCCTTTATCAAGTGTCGCTGTAAGCGCTGCGGAGGGCGTACTCCACACTCTCAAATAAGCACAGAGGGATTTGGTGTGTGTAAGGTTGTACCCGCTGGTAAGACAAACACCATTTTTCCACAAATAAAGACAATCACAGCGCCTCAGTCTGCAAAAATACCAAACTGGCTTTGCGCCAGACAAAAATACCACTGCGCGGGGCGCCACCCTCCGCTGCACCGCTAGCGGGCACGAAAATAGAGCCCTTTATATTTTCTTGCCTCTTTTCAAATCCAACATGTAGTTTGTAAAGGAAATGTCGTAAAGTAGAATTACTCTTTCAGGTAGTTACTTAAGGACTTACTTGAGGATGTGTGCCACCACAGCAGGACCATACCAGTCCCCAGCCTGTTTCCCCATGGACAGACCCAGGCGGACCAGCCTGTGAAGACCTAGCTGAGCAGAGGGACTGTCTCCAAACCAGGATACCAGAGTGCGATGATACATCTCTTTTAAATGCTCATCTGCCTCCTCCGCAGATCCTTGAGCCTGGGCTTGGTGCACAGATTTTGGTCTCTGGTCCAAAGAGTTGTGGGAACCTTGCAGAGATGTCTCCAGAGAGGCCACCAAACGCTTGGCTGCTGTGGTAGTTCGGGTTTTTGTGTCTAAAGGCTGGAGGGTCAGTGCCTCAGACCAGGTCCAGTCTGAGGAAATAAACACACGATTCATCAGCTGTGGTCAGAGTCTAAAAGTAAGATTTTACATCAGGGTTTTTTGAAAAACAGCAGCTTGCTCAGCTCAGCCCTATGGTCACGGCAAACGCACAAAGACCTGCACTCATGAAAACGTAACCCTCTTATTTATTCAAACGTATACTTTTTTATTTTGAGCCTTCAGGGCATCAAGTTCCTTCTAGAGGTTGAGCCCTGAGAACAGACGTCTTTCAAAACTCGTTATATTAAAGTTTTTTTTTTTCACCTTAAACAGACGGAACCTTGTGCTATTCATTAACAGAAAAGGTGTCTTTTTGTTCAATTATAAGTTTGAGTGTCCCAGTATTTCACTTTAACTGTCTCTAACCTTACAAACAGGGTGGGAGCTGAAGGCGGAGAGAGAGGGAGTTACCCCAGCTATAAAATGAGCGAGATTAGAGTGTAAGGCATTAACAAAATGACCTTGATCTAAAGAGAATCAGACTGAAATTGATCAATAAATATTCTTAAGTGGCCATTCGTCATTTTATCTAGAAATATTTCATCAGTGACATATTTTAGATTTGACAGAAGAACAAGTTTTAAATATTGTTTTCTAAATGACTGCATTAAACTGGCAGTCTCCTCATTATGTGGACCCATAAAAACCAGAGCACTTCACAGACAATAGAGCTGACCAATTAATGAGGAATTCACTCATTTTATTAAATGGTTTTAATCAACTACTTTAACTTTCAAAAGGCTGAAAAAGTGAAAAATCTCATTCCTGGCCATAACTCTGCCTGCCAGCTTGTGATATAGACACTGAACTGAAAGAGAACACAGACTCAGAGGACTTGTAACTTGATGACAACTTGAACCCATCACACTTAATGCTACCTCCATTTTTGGCATCATTACTAAACATTATTTCCCTTTAGTTATGCTCAATGTTTTTCTTATATCACCCTTCAAACTGAACATCTAAAGCTGCAGAGTGTAAGCAGTACTTTTCAAAATATGCCACATCAGCAGCTTCCATTTTTAGGCACTTCTACACGTGCCAATAAGAACCTATTATTATTAACGTACTGCTATTTCAAAAGCCTTGGAACATGACAAATCTGCAAGAAAATCCTCCACTATGGCTGGGTTTCCTCAGAAATACTTTCCAAGGTCTAAAAAGATTGTTGTTGTTTGTGTTTTTACTGTAATCTCAAGCAGAGGTCCCTACAGTACGGTCACCACTCTCTAACACTATTACTTTGGGATTCACTGGTCTAAAGGTGTAGGAGCGCCTGGTCTAAAGCATCATAAGGAAAAGACAAACATGTCTGCTGCTGCATGGCTCTATTTTATCACATGCCCTCTCCTGTTTTTCTCACGAGATAAGGAAATCTCTTCCTGCTGATTTTTGACTGTCAAATGTATCGTGTAATGAATATTTTATGTAGAATTTCACAACACAGGGCTCTTTCTTTAGCTGTTTGGCCGACACCTCTTTCCACTGGTTTCAAGCATTAAAAATTAGGATATCAAAGTAACCCATCATGTCGCTGATGGTCTTGTTTGCTTTTGGGTATCATCAAAGGGCTTTCATTGTGATTTTAAGTCGATTTCATTCATGTCAAAAAACTCCTCAAAGCTATATTAAACAAAAAAAGCAGTGACCAGGAGTGGCCACTTAGTCCAAGTACTGCAAAACTATTACCCTCTGCACAATAAAGACTCAGGACTTTATCTAAACCTAAGTATTCCTGGAGTCACTAATCTCTAAAGTTTCTATGGGGCAAACTCAGTTTGTTTAATCTCTTTATAAGTGGAAAAATGTTGCAGAGCTAAGGCATGGCTATCCCATTAATAATCTCATCACCCCTCAGATTAATTTCTAGAGAAAATAACACAACCAAAAAGAATGAAGCCTTTCTCTTGGCATAGTCACTACACTGTTCTTATATCTTGTTATTCCACATTAAATGACCTTACTGTAACTCAAGTGTGGTGTTGTACCGTTATCCCACTCACCTCTGCCCATGAAATGCAGCATCAGAGCCTGAGCCAGCATCATCTGGCCAGCTCTCAGCATGCAGCCCCAGCCGCAGTCGGAGGTCAGGGTGGAGCCGGGCATAGGAGGGAACTCCTCCCTGTAGGTGAGCCAGATCCTGGATGTAAAATCTTTGCGGAAATCCTCCACATTCCCCAGGATAAAGTCCTCCTCTGAAGTTTCGTCGCAGGGGTCCATGAGACCCTCTTCATCTGAGGGAAACAAATGATCTGATCAGGACTTGCTGATACTCTTTCACCAGAATGTCAAGTCTTTGGGAATGTTAAAGGTGAAGTTTGAGTAAAAGCTGAATTTAGTGGAAAAGTCTTCTTAGAAATGGAATAATGTATTTGTAAGTTTTGTTTTTCTTTGGAAGTGATTAGTGTATAATCATCTTAATTTGGAGGATTATACTTTTTATACATTACAGGAGCTTGTTTCCTGGAAGGGCACTGTCCCTTTACTGATGGGAGGGGTGAGCAAAGGAAAGCTTCAATTTATAACCTAATCACTAGATATTACTGAAAATCCTGTTTCTACACACTGTACCTTTATTGTTGATCAAAGAAGTGCTGCATTGTAACTCTATGGGATAACTGTGTGCAATATTTCCATCTACTTATACTCAATTCTAACTTTGAAGGATTTAAATTACAACCCTCATTTTCCAGACGTTGTGAGATTTGGTTGTTTTTTAAGTCTGGAAAGATTTGAGGGAGGCAAGCCGTCACTTTTTCCACACCTACTGCATAATATGAGTTGATCTTTAGACCTTATGCAGAATATTGGTAAATGTACAGCTGTGTGTACAAAAAATATTACATCTGATCACTCTAGTGCAAGGGTGGGCAATTAATTTTTACATGGGGCCACATGAGAAACCTGAACTGCGTTGAAGGGCCGAACCAACAATCACTTCACACATACAGAAAAGCAAGCCCAAATAAGCAACTACAAGTTAAAAACAAGCCCAAAACAAAAAGCGCACCTGCGACTCACAAATTTTACAAGCATCTGAGAGAAACAAGGTTGAAGTCTTTTATAATAAGCGAACTTGGCAACTATAAGGCATCTACGAATGTTTTGCCGATGTTTAAACTTGTCTCTGTTCACGAATGCAGATGTAGGATGTACGCATGTGCGTCCAAACAGAAATAAAACAATGGCTAGGTGTTTTAAAATAAAAGCAACACACTTGTATAGCATGTTGATGATTTGATTGATGGACCTCACAAAGGGCCGGGCAGGGACATCCAAAGGGCTGAATGTGGCCCACGGGCCTTAAAATGCCCACATCTATTCTAGTGTAACTTTTATGAACTGCATTTATGTGCTTGTATGATAAAACCTATAGGTAAGAAAAGAATAAATAAAAAATTTAAACCTTACCTTCAACCTTGAAGTGGTAACATTTCCCAAGAAGAAACACTGGAGAATTCCTACTGAATGAGGTCTTCAATTTCAGAGCCCAACCTAAAACACAGAAAGACAACATTTTAAGGCTATTTGGCAAGAAAGACAACTCCAAACATTCTTATTTACCCACCACTTAACAGCATTGACTTTACTCATGATCCATATTTTGACAGTTTTCAGTTTTGCTTTAGGTCCTGTGACACAAACAGGCATTGTATTGTTTTAGACATTAACAGAAACACAAGAAAAACTTAAGCCTGAGTGGCTTTAAAGACCACAATCTTACACACAAAAGCGTTATCAGTGTGGATAATATGACAAAGTCCTATTTTGAGGGCTGACTCAACTGCAGACGGCTGATGTCTCAGAGGATTATGTGTTCTTGTTTATGCTCTTTCCTGGTATTATTGATCAGTCTTACAAGTAAATATGCAAGAAGTAAATCTTTGTTGACTAGGAAAATTTGGATAAACAACATAGCACTAAAAGGCTGCATAAAAGCATCAGGCACTAAGTGAATACAGAGGACTGGTGTGTGTTTGTGTGTGTGTGTTTGTGTGTACTAGCCTGGAGCAAAAAAACTTACTGTACTTCACATTGTGCCACGCTGACAAGAACTTTGTCTTCAATTTTTCCACCTCGTCGCTCCCTTTATTCTCCATTTAGACCAACAGGAGATGGGACCCATTCCCACAAAGCGTATAAATCCTGGAGCACACAGTTAACACAGATGCATTAACACGTAAACACAGCTGAACAGCGTTATTAAAAATACAGATTTACAGCAAACACAAATGGCCAGAAGCAGAAGCGTGTTGTTGTTGTTGTTACCTCAGAGCTTCTAGGACACTGTTGTAATTTCCCACTTGCGGTCGCACTGAAGCTCCGTGTTAAGGTTAAACCGTCACATTGTGTTGTAAGGATAGTTAAACACAGATGAAGAGAAACATAACACTGGCCTGTGACCACCAATATTTACACTGAGGAAGTGGGTGCCGCGTCACGTGATCTCGCGGTGTTTCCAACGGGATCAGGAGGAGAGAGGCAGGTCTCTAAAGGCTTGATTTATCACTCAGTGCAACCTAAGCGGGCGGTGTGGTAACGGCTATTAGAGCATTATCGTGCAATGGTATTAATACTTCACTTACATGGGTGTGCTATGTAACAAAACAAACGCACTATGTTGTACCAAGGAGGGCGACAAACTCATAAACCCATCCAGGACAGTTTCCACACCACCTAAAATTAAAATGATTTTGCTTTGTCATTACTACTTCTAATTAGATGTGTAAAAGAAATATATTTTATATGGATGATATAAGGAATTCAACAAACTCATTATGCATGAGCTAAACTTGTTAGATACTCTTATTTGTGCAATAAATCCTATTATATAAATTGTGTACAGATGTAAATATGATGCATGTACATATCTTTTTTAACTCAAAGTTTCTTTATCTTTTATTTTTTCTCTTTTTGCATCTATACTTTGCTGCAGTAAATTTGGAATTCCCCTTGTGGGACTATTAAAGAAACATCTTATCACTATTGCACTATCGTGTCCCCATCAGGACTGCCATACTGTTTACATTCACTTTCTTCCACTCACCTTCCTCCTTATATTTATACTGCACACTGTTTGTAATGTTATGCTGTTTATATTATAAGTTTTGCCTCTTACAGGGAAAATAATTGTTTTATGGTCTCAGATTTTAAGAATAAGATAAGAACTTTATTAATCCCCAAAGGGAAATTCAATTGTCTTCTTGTCTCACATAATATGTCTCCAAAAAAGTTATTTACTATTTACGCAAGAGTTATAAAGTCTAATGGCTGTTGGTACAAAAGATCTTCTGAATCTTTCTGTCCTGCAGCAAAGAGAGAGGAGCCGTCCACCACCATTTGCCCTTTGGTCCATCAAGGTGTTGTTAAGTGGGTGATCCATGTTCTTTAGAATAGACTCCACCTTTCCTCAGTGCAGATCTCTCCACCACATCCTCCACTGAGTCCAGCTTGAGGTCCTACCATAGAGCCAGCCTTTTTCACCAGTTTGTTCAGATGTCTTGCATCTTTGTGTTTGATGCTTCCTCCCCAGCAGACTGCAGCGTAGAACAGAACACTGTAGACACTACAGACTGGTAAAACATCTGCAGCATCTTACTACAGATGTCTATTGATCGGAGTCCTCTCAGGCAAAACAGGAGGGGTGTCACCCGGGGGTGCCCCAACCAGAGGTCAAGGAGAGCTAATGTGCTTTTGTAATAACTGTAGCATTATTAATTCTTCTTGGATATGACTCTTGCAGAAATTAGAGATAAAGATCTAGAGATAGAGGGGAAAATGCAAGAAATTCAGATAATAAATTGATTTGAACTCTATTCTTTCTATGCTGTTCCTTCATCATGTTTCAGATTGGCCCTGATAAATAACTTTTCATGTGGTGACAATCACCATCTATACTGCAGAAAAAAAGCCTTAAGAATAATTCTTAATACGACTTTACTCATAATTCGACTTTTTTTTGACAATCTTTTTTTATATATTGAATTTTTCTACACAGTTTATTTAAGTGGAATTTTCACTAAATAAATATTTTGAGAGACCGATTTTTTTACACCAAATTTATTGCATCATTGTGAAAAAAATTAGTGTCGGAAATAAAAATGCGTGCTTGAAATTCAATAGTTTTGAAATTCAAAGTCTGATTTTGATGCAAAAAAAAATTCAGCTTTAGAAATTCAAACTCAAAATCGGATGGCACAGATTTACTTCCATACCGATGTCTCTTATTTGTCCACCTTAGTCTATTTTTAATTCTGTTGTTAAAGGTGGATTAAACCTTTTAATGACACTATCCAGCTCTTGTGAGTCTCAGTCTTGTCTCAGTTCAGCAAACACGATTTTTTTGTTATTGGGTGTGTTCTGTTGCGCACATTTACAATCATTACGGTAATGAATCCATTCTCCCGTTTTCCCCGTTTTCCCTGTGGCCGTAGTGAGTGAGTGAGTGGAAAGAAGAGTCTGCCTGCAGCTTGCCTGCCTGGGAATCCCGTTAAAGCACATCAGCGGCCACTGCCATGGCTGAACGCCGCGCCTTCGCCCAGAAAATCAGCAGGTAAAGGCTTCCGAGCCCCCGAAACGAGTTTGTTGAAGGGTACGCGGAGGGTTTGGACGCTTTTATATGGGTCGCCCTGGCTGCAGCGTTGAGGGAACCCTGTGAAGGGAAGGAGGCCCGGGCTGCTACATGCTAGCCGCTTGTTAGCCACATCGAAAGAGTGATGCTCAGACCCACCCAGACAGACAGCGACAGGGCTAGCCGTTATCTGTTTTACCAATTGAATGCTAACAAAGAAGCAAGGTGTTGTATAGTTGTAACAAATGCGTTATGCCTTTACAACAGCTGGGTTTACGGTAATAACCCGCATTAAGATGAGCCAACCGTTAACCGTTCATTTTGTACAGTTAGCAGTCGTCTTGTCTGCTGAGGCTAACAGCGGAAAGCTAGCAGTGCTGACAGGGATGCTACTGAACTTTATAGAGTCATGGTTTGAGACAGAATTCACTGACAAGATAGATATTTGTTTAACAGTAAGACTGGGAATAAAAGCCTCTCTCAGCAGCCATCAAACAGCGACATAATAATCTCCTTTCCGCCCCTCAGACGGATCAAAGTAATCTCTTTAACAAAGGGCTTTGTGCTGCCTGTCAAATACCATCATCCCAGGCGATGCACAACTTAGATAGTAGAGAGATGGAAACATACAGACACGGTTGAGATCAACTGTTTTCTGCCACAACATTAACGAGTGTTAATTGGAGTTGTTACCTATGATTTAAATTCAATGCTGTAGTTATACTGTACTTAAACACTGCCTCATACTGACTAACCATATTAGTGTCATAGTTAAGTCTCCTTTTTCAGTAATTAATTTTCAATGTTAAAAATAACACTTTTAGCATTATCTACATTGATACAAATTTTGCTTTATTCTTATTTAGAATTATTGCTCTACTTTCTCACTGATATTTCATCTATATGTTTTGTTTTGTACTCATATTTATCATGTACAAGTTAAATACATTCTATAACATCTCTTCAATACCTCTTAAGACTCATATCTTCAGACCTAAAGTATCCATCTTTATTCTTATTTAGAATTATTGCTTTACTTTCTCACTAATATTTCACCTATATATTGTTTTGTACTCATATTTAAAAGTTAAATACATTCTGTAACATCTCTTCAATACATCTTAAGACTCATATCTTCAGACCTAAAGTGTCTATCTTTATTCTTATTTTCTGTATCAAAGCAAGTGTAAAGTTCAAACTTCACCCCTCAGATAAATACAGAATTTTGATTAAAATAGTTATTTAAAAGTGATTTAATTTTAGCATTTATTGCAATGTACCGAAAAGAATTGTATTTGCCAGTCTTAGCAGATAAAAGTTCCTAAAGTAGATTATTGATATTGACAGATGTGGAGGTTTCTGCCAAAACTTAGGGCCTAAAAGGGACATAGGTTACATAGGTGAAGTATACACATACAATGAGTATCAGCATATCTGCTGTATGGTACAGGTGATGAGAGGAGGAGCAGAACAACACTTCTTGAATACTACCCATTTAATTGTGCATCTGAAGGACTATTATCCTGAATAGCACAATGGTCTTCTGAAAAGTAAGGACAAAACATTATTGGCTACAGCAAAAACTAGGCAGCAGCCTCTGCTTCAGTCATTTGAAAAGGGCTAAGAAATATAGCAGGGATTACCCAAAGGTAAAGGAACCTAAAGAAAATCATTGATTTCATTGCTCTTCATCACCAACCTTTCAACCTGGTGGAAGAAGCGGGCACCTGCTGGCTAATGATATACTTTGAGTGGAGTCAGTATTGGTATGTGTGTCATCCTAAATTAGTTTTATAAAATCCAATATTATGTCTCCCTCTATCAAAAACATCTTATTACAAAAGACCATGCGAAACGTGTTTTTTTTTTCTTCTGTTGATTAATGTGGTTAATATTCTTAAGTCCAGCCTGTTTCTATTATAAAGGATTTCTTTGTTATTGTTATAGCTGGAGGAGTATACATTTGTGATTAATTGTTGGTCCTGTTCCCATGGAGAGAAACCACATCTAAGCGCTAGGACAAAAACAGAATCTTCCCTGCCCTTGTCATATTGACAGCTGTGATAAATATACGAGGACGAAGACTAGAATAGGATGAATGAGAGAGACGTAGAAGTTAGGAGATGCATTTGCACACATCATGTAAAAATGAACTTATTACACAGAACGATGAATACACGGGTCATGCACTGAGACCGTTTTGTCAGTCAAAACATAAAACCCCAGCTAGAGGCACATTTATGACTGACTCTTGTCTCAGGTTGGACATTATTATGTATCCAGTGAATAATCTTGGTTAGTGTGGCATACCAGTAAAAATTACCTCAATAAACAGAGGTTTAAAATATTTTTTTCTGTTGTTCAGGTTCTTAGGTTAATTATGTTGTTAAACTGAGTTCATGTTATTCATTTGGCAGGTAAAATCCGTCTATCCTTTTCCTGGTAAAGCATTCTGACCACTTGTAATAAAAGTGAATTAGCCCACGTGGCATGTTAAGTCTAATTTACTGACTAAAATTGCTGGTGGCTTTTGCCCAGAAGTGTAAATCTCATGCCTCAATGAATCCGTTTTCTTCCACTTTGCCCATAAGTTCTCACCAGTTTGTGTTGTTTTGGTCGAGATAATTACTGTTGCTCTTCTGAAGAGACGGAGACAGAGGAATGTCTGTTTAATGTAGTTCTTCCTCTGCGCAGTGACCAGAGCTCAATTAAGGCCCGGTCAGAGGAACTAAAGAGGACTGAGGAATGTGTTTGTTGGTTCAGCACTTCTGCTTTTCTTTTGGTGACAACACTGCGCTGCAAAAACCACTAAATTTCAACAACACCACACAGTATCGTGATAATTTATCTTGCAACTTAAAGCTTGTAGCTGTACTTTCCCTTTCTTACTAAAGAAAACAGCCTTAAACCTCCTCTATTTCACAGCCTTGCCTTGGGCTTAGGGATCCTTTTGTTTGTGTACAGTTTTTTTGATGATGCAACCATTGCAATGGACTCAGCACTTTAGTGGCTTTAGGGAAACCAGACCTCATTTAGAGGTTTGGGGTTTTATAACCTCACTGACTGGATCCTTTCTGACCTCAGTTTATTACTGTAATCATGTCCAAGTGTTTACATTAATTTCAAACTTACTGTTGTGCTATTGCTTTTAATATATACAGCAGAAAGACAAGGTTATGTAGGTTATGAGGAAAACTGTAATAAAAAAGTTATTGTTGGATCCATGTGGCCTCTGTGTTACCTCTGTGTTTGAACCTTGAGTCTTTGGAGTCTAGCCTCTGTCCTTGGATCCAATTTGTTATTTGTTTGTGTCACTTTGAGCAATTTGCTGCGTTGTTGTTTTGTTCAAGGAAAAGGTCACTCAGTTGTTTTGGTGGTCGGTGTATGGGAGTAGGACTTGAGAAGATTGGTGCTGACCACTGGGTTCCTCAGGTTTTTATTTCTTTCCTTTCTGTCCCGTTTCCTTATATGATGCTGTCTGAGATGAGGATGTAAAGTTGTGAGTGAAGACTCACAGAGAAAATCCTGGAATGACAAGAAGGGTTTTTTTCTGCAGTGTTGGTTAACTTGAACATTTGCAGGTCAGGGGAGTAAAAGTGGTCATTTGCAAAATTCAGCACAATATGAGATATTTTGTAATTATTTGGGTTGAATGGAAGTAAATGTCAACATAAAGTATCACCTAAGACATGGTTATTGCAAACTGTCCGCCATGTTTTTTCAAACCATGCTGTTACCTCAAGAAAAACAGGTCAATACAAAAATAGGTCTTTCATTTCATTGATCCTTTTTGATCCATTAACAGACCAAAAAGATTAAATATACTTATGCTTGCAGTGTTTTATGAAATTATCCTTTATATTGGATTTTCAAGTAAATGTTTACCTATCTGAAAGTCTGTTTTTGCCTTCTCTTTTGATCCCTATGCGAGTCTTTGTTACTTAACTTATTTGCAATCTGAAAATTTGCAGACATGGTTCTGTTGGCATAGGTTGATTTGTGATGTTGATAGTTATCTATTAAATTTGAATGTATTCAATATTGTGTAATTCAGCACAGTAGCCTGTATTGTGATCATATTTGCATTAAAGTCAAAACTGACTGCGACTTGTTTTTTAGATCATGAGATTTTCAGAACCCAAACATTTTGAAGTGCCTAAATTCACTCTCTTTCTTACCTATCTTTATCCTTCTTTGCAGGACTGTGGCAGCAGAGGTCAGGAAGCAGATAGCAGGCCAGTATGGGGGCTCTCCACAACTCTTCAAAAACCTCAACACGGGCACCGCTACAACCAACACAGTGAGTACTTTCCTCTTCCATAAGGGTTATTTCAACCCGACTTGAGTTTCTTTTTTCTGGCTTCCAGGTTTGTGGAAGTTCCTTCTCCGATTAGGCAGGATTGTTGGCTGACGCTCATAATGTTTTGAACTGTTGTTACATAATTTTCTGTACAACAAAGACACACTTGGGGTGCACCCTGTTAACTGAGCTGGGTGGGGTTTTGTGGGTAGAATAAGAAAACTGCAGCCTTTTCAAGAGCTTAGGTCAGTGGTTCTCAACTGGTCTCACTCTGGGACCTACATATTCCCATGGTCCTTACGTCGCGACCCACTTTTATAGAATTCAAACAAAGTAAATTTATTTTTTATAAAAAAAAACTTTTATAGACTCAAATTTTAACAGGAATCCACTTGTTTTATTTAGTAAAGTGCATTTTAGAGCACATGAAGGGGACAACATGAGGATGACAACTACTGAAGGTGCGTAAACAGAAAATATCTAATAAATATCGCACTACATATTTCCTTTTTTGACCAGCTGTTCGTTACCCATCCAGAATGTGTCAGTGACCCACTTTTGGGTCAGGACCCACCAGTTGAGAACCACTGGCTGAGGTGTTTGATGCAGTATGTCTTCTTCTTCTCAAGTGATGATTCTCTCTGACCAATCACTGGTCTGGAATGTTTTTAACTTTCATTTTTAGTATCAGATCAGCTTGTGTGGAACCTTAACCCAGTTGCTGATAAAAACACATCTGCCCAAAAGAGAAAGTTGAGTCATACTTTGCAGAAAAAAGGCAGTTGACTTCCTATCTTACATCATGTTCTTGTGAGACAGCTGCTGTGGCCTCAAAATGTCAGAGAATCAGCCTGAATAAAATGTTAGTGTCTGCTGTTGTCTCAACAGCTTTGCTCCTACTCCTGATTTTTTTAACATTTGCCCAAATGCAATCCTTGTGTCTGCTGTGTTAAGGGAATAATCACACTCATCCACATCAACAGCTGTGTTTTAGTCAGCTACTGTGCTTCTGTCTTTTTTTGTCTGACAAACCTTAATCAGTGTTTATACCAAGTCACCAACGACTGAAGTACCTGGTGACAGTGGTCTTAGTGTACCTCACAGTTACTCCATGAGACAAGGATGTCATTTTCTTGAGTTGATGGCTATTTTCAAGGCTGCTTGTCTCTCTTTAAATACCACATTGGATGACCATTGATTAGCCTGCAATCCACAAACACTCCCCGCTGCAGTGCCTCTCCAGTTTCACATGTAGAAGGCCACACAGCGTGTTTGTTAATGGGGTAGTGCCAATTGACCCTCAGTAGCACAGGACCAGGACAACAGCAAATACTCCCCCTTCTCCTCCTTTAATTAGGCTACACACGGCTTTTAATTAAACTGTGAAAGGTATTTGTGTTCAAATTCCTCGAGAGAGAAAGAGAGAGAGAGAGAGACGAATGCACACATTAACCCTGCTGACAAACTGAAAAAGATGAAACTGAATATTTCCCCAGGGTTCACTGTTTTGGGAGTGGACTAAGACTCATGAAACCATTAGCCAAAGCTTAAAGTGGGACAATTGATAATCTGGTTATGTATTTTGTCATGAGCGGATTTTAGAGCTTTCCTTAAATCAGTTATTTTCTAACAGCTGATTTCTTTTTAGCAGAATTTTATTTATTTTTATTTAGCCTTTATTTTACCAGGTTAGTCCAATTGAGATTAAAAAATTCTTTTACCAGGGAGGCCTGGCCAGGAGGGCAGCAGCATAGTTCCTACAACAGATAAAATTCCCAACATCTCAACATCAAAAAAATCTCACATAAAACATTTAAACACAGATTAGGTAGACTGTGATGATTTTACTGTTGTTTTTAATTCATTTAGTGTCACAAGAGCTTGAAGGCGAAGTTCTGACTGTAGTTTGTTCCTGGTATAATGAGCTGAGAACCTTAAACCCTTCATGCCCAGTTCAGTTCTTACTTTTGGGACAACTAAAAGATTAAACAGGAATGACCTACTATTTTGGACTCTCTCATTTAGAATATAAATAATTTAAAGTGGGGACAAGACAACTCAGCAGCTGACCGTGTCTTCACAACGATCCAACTTCTCCTTTCCTTCTGATTGTCTGCCAGGTGCCACTCACAGAAGCGGTGGAGCCGGTGGATTTTGAGGAGTACCTCATCACTCACCCTCCCATTGTTGAGTCAGGTCCTCTGAGAGATCTGATCGAGTTCCCCCCAGATGATATCGAGGTCATCTACACACCCAGGGAGTGTCGAACAGTGGCACAAGCTGTTCCAGAGGAGGGGTAAGGGTTGAAATGCTAGAGGTGGTAGAAGCTGGGGCAGAGAATTTCAGTCTCAACCTATCATTTCTGGGATACGTTTTTAGTCATTTATCAGATGAAACAGAGCGTGTAACTCTTAATGTGGTGTGCTGTCAGAGTTTATCATTACTGTCTTTAATTATTGAAAAAGCTGCACAACATGTGTAAGCATCAAAGACTTGTGGTCTTGATGTATTTCTCAGTCTAGTTCAGGCTCTTAGTATTTCAGACTTGATGCGCCAAAAGATGAAAGGATGTCAGTCTGGTAGCTTGTCATCTTTATTCACTAAGACTTGTTCAGTCTTAGGCCTGACTCTTGACACAAAGCTTGTTAAGCCTGATTGAGTCTGTTTGGCTGCAGGGACACTGACGCTCATGTGAGAGACTGTGTCAGATCCTACACTGAAGACTGGGCCATCGTCAACAGAAAGTAAGGCTTTACTGCGCCAAGCAATTTCCCTCTTTGAATTGGGATTATGTCATTTTAAACTCTATAATTATTCCGAGTATTTAGTAATGAGGGTGTCCTACATCACTGTTTACTCTCGCAGATACCACAAGCTGGGTACGGGCTTTAACCCCAACACTTTGGACAAGCAGAAGGAGCGTCAGAAAGGCCTGCCCAAACAAGTGTTTGAGGCTGATGAGATGCCAGAAAACAGCAGCTATCAGGATGACCAGGTATTTAAGTATCTGGAACTATAAAAGAAGTAGATAACAGTCTTATGTGAGGGTATCTGGGCTTCGAAAACAAATCATTTTTGTGGTTTTGGTTCACGTAGGATGATCTGAAGAGACGGTCGATGTCTATAGATGACACCCCACGCGGCAGCTGGGCCTGCAGCATCTTTGACTTGAAAAACTCCCTCCCTGACGCTCTCCTCCCTCACCTCCTTGACCGCGCGCCCAATGAGGAGATCGACAGACACAATGAAGAACAGCGCAAATCCAACCGCCACAGAGAACTCTTTGCTCTGCACCCAGCCCTTGACGAGGTACTCCTCAGATATGCCACAATCATAAAGTAAACAATGAACATCTGATAAAGGGTGGTACGTTTTTTTGTTTGTTAGTTAAATGGTGTTTAAACTTAATCTCAAGATGTTGTTTATATTTCCTGAGGTTTAATTTCAATCCAAAAGTATGAGACATTAAATTATTTACAAGTGTTTGCAAGTGAACTTCTCTTTAATCGTGTAGGAGGAGCCCATTGAGCGCCACTGTGTGCCTGAAGTACCAAAAGAACACTTTGGCCAGCGGCTACTCGTCAAGTGCTTGTCCTTGAAGTAAGTGGTGGACAGCCTTTTTCCAGAAAAACAGCCCTTTAGCTCTTTTATTTCACTGCTGCTTTCTGCTGACCCGCTCCTTTTCCTCTCCTTGAAGGTTTGAGATCGAAATTGAACCCATATTTGCTAGTTTGGCCTTATACGATGTCAAGGAAAAGAAAAAGGTAAGCTGTTATGCTTTCCTCAGCCCTGAGTTGTTGGGTCACTCCTGCAAACCATTAAAAATGTTGGGGGGCCAAAACGAATTCGATGAGTGGACGATAAAATTTTATGTTGTAGACCTGTTATGCTTGTAGGAATGCAGGTAAATCACCAGGACTATGTATCTATCTGAAGTAGAACATCCACTGCTGACTCTTTCCCCTTAAGCTGACAAACACTAGAGGGTAGCAGTTGCCTTGATAAACAGAAGTGTCACACGAACAGTACATTGCTCTCCACAGGAATTCCATTATTTATGTCTTCACAAGAGGGTCATTTATCATTGAAAAGTTACCATGTTTTCAGCCACTGTGAGCCAGGTTTTAGTGAAGCACAGAGAGACTATTCTTTAGTTCTAAAAAGCGTTCATCGTGCAACTATTTTGATGCATGTAACGTTAATGAAACATGTTTCTTTGTCTGTTTTTAATGTGTCTCTCAGATATCAGAGAACTTTTTTTTCGACTTGAACTCCGAGCAAATGAAGGGGATGTTACGTCCGCATATTCAGACTGCAGCCATCTCTACGTTGGCGCGTTCTGCCATATTCTCCATCACCTATCCCTCCCAGGATGTCTTCCTTGTTATTAAGGTCAGAGAGCAATGATGCAGTGTTTTTTTCATTGTCAAGTCTTACTCTGCTATTTAATGCATGAAGGTTCTCTCTGTTCAAAAAGGCTTTTGTTCTTTCAAAGTGGTTTGCAACTGCTTTACAAAATTCCATACATTTATCTCATAGCTTTGTGCCAGTATGTTGACCTAGAATGTGTGCTTGGTCCCCAGCTGGAGAAGGTACTACAACAAGGTGATATTGGAGAGTGTGCTGAGCCCTACATGGTCTTTAAAGAGTCTGATGCTGCCAAGGTATGACCATAAAAAGGTTGTCATGTGCACTATGATAATAGAGATGGGTTACAAATACACTGTGTTATTATCTGTACTCTTTTTATACATTTTGTGAGCTGAATCATCAGTAAAACTATGATCTTCTTTGGATTGCCATCACTTGTCCAATGGTGCACTGTAAACCCCATTTTTAATAAATCTTTTTGTTTTATAGAACAAAGAGAAGCTGGAGAAGCTTCGCGGCCAGTCAGAGCAGTTCTGTCAACGCCTCGGCCGCTATCGCATGCCTTTCGCTTGGACGGCCATTCACCTAATGAACATTGTGAACAGCGCTGGCAGTCTTGAGAGAGACACAGAGCTGGAGATGAGCCTCTCAGGTCTGATATTTCCTCTTTACTCTATCTCTTTGACTGTGACTTAAGAGAGACTGTATGTATTTTTGTCACAAGACGTTAAAAGGCAGCATTAAGGCATGAAAAGGCTTGCTTGATGGTTTAATGCATCTATTTGCTCACATATAGTTATCAGAGAACAAAGACTAGCACAGTTTTCGCAGTCACGCATGGGGCTCATGGGCATGTCAAAACATTACCACACATCTTTATCTACAAACAACTTTCAAACAAATATTAAGAAAGGCAAAGTATCCAGCCGTATTGATCCTGGTGTTATTTTGAGTTTGACCTTCGGTGTTTGTCTAACCTTTACCCTTACAAAGTGTCTTTGATGCCGATTGTGGCAGCTGCCTTTTTGGTTGCTAGGCAGATCAGGAAACAACTTAATGAATCTCCAAACCTTCGTTGAAGAAATCCCATCATTAAACAATCCTGTAGCTGAATTAAAAATACTTTTTTTTTGTTTGTTTGTTTGTCTGTGTACAGAGAGGAAGGGCTCATGGTCAGAAAGAAGGAACTCAAGCATTATGGGAAGACGCTCTCTGGAAAGGACCACCAGTGGTGACGAGTCATGCAGTCTGACAGGCTTTAGACCTGCAACACTTACCATCACTAATTTCTTCAAACAGGTCTCCACAATCTCACACACACACACAAGCTTCAATTGTAGTCTAAAAATTGAGCATGTCTTGGTATACAACCTGAAGAAAACATTAAAATATGCTGGGGGGAAATGTTCACCACTTTATCATGAAGTTTGCTGTTTTGTCTTTGTAGTTTTATAATGATTTTGTATATGCTGTATGTTTGTTCTAGGAGGGAGACAGACTGAGTGATGAGGACCTGTATAAATTTCTCGCTGATATGAGAAGGCCTTCTTCAGTGCTGAGGAGACTCAGACCTATCACAGGTAGAAACACTGATTTTGTGTTGTTGGAATTCTCAACACTAATAATGTTAAATATCACATAATACTCATTTTGAAGTGGCACCATGATTCCCATAGTTACTGGTTGGTTTGAAGAGTAGTTTAAGTTTTTTTCCAGTTGAAGTAAATTGATATTTTTAATTCTTTTCTTTGCTGAACACTTAATTTCGTTCCTTTTTGTTTGTCACCACAGCCCAGTTAAAGTTGGACATATCTCCAGCGCCAGAGAACCCCCACTATTGCTTGACCCCCGACCTTCTGCAGGTTAAACCTTACCCAGACAGCAGAGTACGCCCAACTAGGGAAATCCTGGAATTCCCTGCCCGGGATGTTTATGTGCCAAACACCACATACAGGTAGGGGAAAAACAAACTAGTGGGTGAAAAGCAAAGCTTGTCATTCTTGTATTTCAGTTTTGTCAATGTTGTCTGAAAAGTAAAGTGAGATAGAGTCTAAAATAATCTATAATCAGTCAATAGGTTTCAAAATACAAGCTGTTTCAAACAGTTTAAATCTGAAAGTGAAGGCTATCTTAAAGTTGTCTCTTCATATGTTTTTCAGAGCAAAGTTAACATTTGAAAAGTAACTTTCTATAAACAGCAAAGTACCCTGGATCAAAGCTTTGACATGTTTTCATTCGGAAATCATCCAGAGTACGCCCAGTCATTCCGACACTGTGCCTTGTTAATGGTTAGCTAATGTCTGGGGGGAAAAAAAGGCTACTTTTGCCAAGGTTACTTGAAGAGATGGGTTATTAGCGGTCAGTTTCTACTGACCTGGCCTTGATACAGTCTGCAGATAGCAGGGTAACTTCCAATCATAGATTAACAGATGACTGCCAGACAGGGGTGATCCACCACAGCGAACAAGCAGAACAGGTTGAAAAAGAAAGCATGTGTTGTATCGTTGTATTACCAAGAGGGGGTAGTGAAAGATTGCTCAAAACTGTGCTGTTTGATATTCTTATCTAGAACATCTTTTTCACATATATCACATTGACTGAGCTGCTTGAGGTCATTAAACTGGAGCAGTGCTGCCAGTTGCTCAACTTTAATCAAGCAACAGATTTTTTTGCAGGCGGTACGTTTCAGACTCTGAAGCTGAAATGTTTCATTTCATGTCTTTTGTTGTTTTCCTCCAAAGTTTAATATGAAGTAAAATTGAAGATTAAAAAAAATCATGTTTTGTGGGTCAAGAATTTATTTTGTTTTCATAAATACACACTTTTTAGAGTCAGGTTAAAGCATTAGTGTGAGGCACATTTACAGTAGAGTTGCATTGTAGTGATGGATAAGAGTCAATATGACTCAGTAAAATAGGACATATATCAAAACTTTATTAAAAATAAAAAGTTTAAATCATAGTAGCATGAATATGATTTAAATACTTAACAGAGTAACAAAAACACAAAAACAGAAAAACCTCATCAGTGTGATGCAAAAGCTATGAACTTTGAATACTGTGCACCGTGTGAGTCTGCCCTAAAACAGCCCTGACATTAAAGAGTATTTCATGAAACTAGGACTGAAGCAGTGTAAAATACCTGGAGATTGAAGAGATACTGCATTTATTTAAACCTGACTTATACCATGCATGCCCGGTGAAGCAACCTGTTAGCATGTCTGTTGCTCCACAAAACCATGCAACCATTTAAGAGCACAAGATGAAATACACTTTACATTTCCTAGTTGCCACAGATGCAGTAAAATATGCTTAAGTCCTTTGAAAACATTTCACAACAAGCTAGAAATCTCAGTTTGAAACAGCTTCCTAATCATTCCTCATTGCTCTCCGTCTGTCTGCTGTAATACTGTCACAGTTTCCGACCAGCATGGAATCAGTTTGCTGATGTGGATCAATACATCCATTTTGCAAGTGATAGCAGATGTTGCATAATGACAATTCTACTGTCCTCACTGGATCAGACCCAATAGGTTAATGACCTTCGTGTCGCAGTGGCAATGTTGCATCACTGCATGATCAGCATTTTCTGACTTGTGACATTTTTGGCCTGATTTTGCTCGGTCAGCACCAACGTCAGGGGTTTGAAGCTGTCAACTTAATGTGGCAAATAAACTTGGAACTTGTCGTCACATACTGGACATGAATCATGCATCTATTAGTTCACTTGCTGAGCATGTTTGTTGACATTGGCACAAGTGTTGCCGTTGGCTCTTTGGTTTCAGTTGAGGCCCTTAGGAGCCGGGGCCTGTCGTATGGTGATCTTGGCCGTCTTGAGGGAATATGAGGGCCCTGTTCCAGGCTTCCAGTAAATACCTTTCCTCCTCATTGAACGCCCCTTGGGCCTTAACCACAAATACCTTCCATTGAGGTTGGTCTCTCCACAGACATTGAACCACCAACCCCCTGCAAAGAAACCAGGACAAGAGACATGCATTATATTAACAGTACTTGGTCTGTACAGGTGGTCCCACCAAGTCACCTTCTAAACCGGTTTACCTGTGTAATTGCGACCACAGTTGGAGTTCCTGTTGTTGTCAATGTTTCTGTCTTTTGTGGAGAATTTCATGCCGGTGCTGTTGGCCATGGCATCAGGCAGGTCACCAGAGAAATGGCTGACATGGATGGTGTAGTCCTTGGAGGGACCCTCCAGTCTGAAGCGGTACTCAGTCCAGTGCTTCTCCTCCTTCCAGTCCTCCAAATCAAAATGCAGGATGTAAACTCCTTGCTTTGTCAAGCTGTGGATCTTCTTCAGGCCCAACCAGAAGTCCTCTGAAAAACACACCAGTCAGTTTTTTTCATGTTAGAATATCTCAACATTAGCTAAAGATTTGCAAACTGCGTATCGGTAATTTCTTGAAAAAAAAAACAAAAAAAACCCCAAAACATATAGTTATTGGTTAGTTTGAGCTTTTGCTCCGGTAAACTAAGAGACCACTGTATTTAATCAAAGCTGGTTTGCATCTGAATGCACTTGCTTTTTGGCCTGCAGTGGATTGCAACAGAGAACTCTTAGATTTAATCATTAGATAAGTAGTTATGCAAGAATGTTGTGACTTAAATTTATGCCCGCAGGAACCATTACTTTTGATTGTGGCATGACTGCACTGAAGAGCAGTGAAAGCTGCAGGGAAAACTGCCAAACTGCTGTACTCAGTCAATACAGGAAGTTACTTTGTCAGTTCAGGACTGATATACAACAAACACAGTTTCCTGTGACCAAGTTTACAGGAAGTACTTCAAATCCCCCTGTTCTTAAAATAGAGCAGAGCTCTAGTGTTCTGTACAGATAGTTTTATTTTGTGACTGAGATTTTGGTAGCTTAGATTTTTCAGGAATAGAAGACTAATTTGACAAACTGCAAGTAAAAAAACAAACAAAAAAACATCAATTTCATTATTTCATTTTTGCAAATGATAACATGCCTTATTACATCAAAGTCAAGTTAAAGAAAAACTTACTTTCCAGATCTCCAAAGCCTTTTTCATACTTGTCCCACGTCTGGTCAAAGTCCACTGAACCATCAACCCTGCGTTGGATGACAGTCAAACCTCCATCTATAGAATGGATTAGAAATATTTTTTAGCTCAAGTTATAGTTGTGCAAACTACACAAAGGTTTACTCAAGGATCAGAGAAGCTCCTTATCATAGATAAGGTAAATGGGATATTCACTCCTGTCTGCCCTCTAGATAACCTTATTCTGGAAGCGAACAAGCTTGATAACTTCTGTTTTCTTCCCTGCCCGTTGTTAAGGAATGCGTGGAAATAGCAATGCCTCAATCGGTTTCTCTTTCAAGAGAGTTTCTGCACTAAGTTTGAAATCTGCCAGCTGTGGTCTCACCCACCTGGGGTCATTTCACAGTAGACGTTGAATGGGTCAGATTGGTTTGGCTTGATAACATAGATTCCACTGTTTGCCTCTCCTTTGTTGAACAGGTCACTGCAGTCTGTGGGGAGGTCTGAAAAACAATGAAGGACAACATGATATTAAGACATCACCACTTTAAACATTCCATATTCAAACCAACACTATAATGCATTTGAAATAACGTTACCATCTGTGTCCAGACCAGTTGAGTTTCCTGTCAGATATTCAAACATGTCAGATGCTGAAACTTCTGGATTCAGTGGTTTATCAACCGTATCTTGAAAGTTGTCATAGGTAAGCTGCAAAAGAGAGATAGCTGTTAATGTTATCAGCCCATTTTAAACTACTTCCCTTCAATTAGGCATATCAGAGTCCAATACAAAAAGGATTTGCATGGGCAGTCTGAATTACCTCAAACAGATTCTCATTAGAAAAACAAATATTTGGATGGCAAAAACCAAACATGACGAAGTTTTTGTTTACCTTATCTTCTAGATTTTTAATCTTTCCTTTCTGGTGATCAAGCTGCTCATGCTGCTCCCTCACAGCGTTCAGCAGACTGGTGATCGTTTTCTCTTGTGCTTCAATCACCTCCTACAAAGTGCAATGATGAAAACATATAAAGTCTTTTTTAATGTCAGGTACCGTAAAGAACGAGAAAATGCAGAGTTGCATAAATGAAACTGTTATCAGATTCTCCAGCTTTTAACCTATTCACTTTTTTAACTTTGAGAATTGAGCATTTATCAAGAACAAAACAGAAGCTGGTGAATAAGTTGGGTTGAATTAGTTTATTGTGACTTTTATTATGATTTATAGCTGCTTCTATTTTACTTGCATGCTTTCAAGCAATTTGCATCTGCTGCCAAACATAGGTTCATAGTTCTCTCTGAGCAATCTGTTATTAGTTGAAGTAGCATGTTGTTAAAATAATCCAGTTTATCAGAGGAAACTGAAGGCATTTTGATTAGACAAAAGTTTGACATGTTTGGTGCACTTTCTATTTTTTCTTGTAGTTTATAAGACAAACACAGATTTGATCTTCTCCTCTCAAACTGCTTACCTTGAGGGAAACAATTTCACCAAGCTGCTCAGCAGGGACCAAACTCTGCGACAGTCCCTTCAGCCGTTCCTCAAGGCTCCCCACCTTGCTCTGCAGCTGCGTACGCTCCTGCAGGATGCCATTGATCTTGGAGTTAATTTCCAGCGACAGGTTTCTGATCTCTTCATTGTTGGTCTTCAAGAAATTGGTGGTCTTCTTCAGCTCCTCCTCTTCCTCCTTGATCTCTGAGGTGACAACTGAGAGCTGGTAAAACGAGCGGTCGAAAATGTTCAACTTTTGGAAGATGTCGTTGATTTGAGCTTTGGTCTTATGGACAAACTCCCGTAAACTCTGGCCCAGCTGAAGAAGGCCGTTGGCAAGTAGGCGCACGTCATCCAGCATGGCAAAGCGAGACTTTGCCTCAGTTGGGTTTGGTTCTGTGGTAAAGCCCTGGTAGGGAGGGGTGGTGTACTCTGCTTTACCTGAGGTTTCCAGAGGGATTGAAGCAGTGAATCTGACTAGCAGCAGCAACAGGCAAAAGAGCTTCATCATGACTTTCTTGTCCAGTCTTGGATTGTGGCAGATTTGTACCAGAGAGTTTCACAGCTCCTCCTGTTCTCTGCTTTATGCTCCACTCGATGCTGTTTTCTCCCCCGCTGCCTGGAACCCAGACTTCCTTGCTGGTTTAAATGATGTGAGAGCAGCAGACTGGCCTGTGTTATATACTGCCCTCCCAGTAGAGGAGGAGGGGGGGATAAGCTGATCATTAAACCCTACTATGTTTTAGCTCTGTGCCCTACCTCCTCCCAAATCCCTCTGGAGCCCTCCCTCTCCTGAACAAACAAATCACAGCAGTGAGCAAATGACATAGAAGTCCCCCCACCCCCCTTTTCCACTGCCCATTTAACCCCAATCCCCTTTCTGTACCACACCCTACCCTGCTCTCCATCTGTGGTGCAGAGCTTTGGCTGATCAGCAGAAAGCCAACAAAGGCCATCGCTGGTTTTTGATGGATCGTCATTCTGATCAATCTTAAACCTTATAACCCTGCGCACACTTTGCTCTGATTGATAATGCTGTGTGTAATTAATGCTCAGGGTTTGATTTAGCATCCTGCTGAATCAGCCCAGTACCCAGCTCTCTCTCTCTCTCCCTCTCTCTCTCTCTCTCTCTCCCGCCTTCTTCTCTCTTTGCGTTCGGGGGGGGGGGGGCGAGCCTGTCATCTGTGCCAGGGTTGAGCTTCTAGGCATAAATGATGTTGTCGAGTTCAGACAGTGTGTACTCATCATCTCGGTTTTATTGCTCAGCCTTGTCATTTTTTATCAGCCTTTTCATACCATGTGTGATATTTTTCAGCGCCACATGACTTGAAATGGAAAATATATAGTTTACCGATTAGCTGAAAGGATCAGCTCTGTACGCTAAGCCCAGTTTGGCTTAATTGGAATTTCTAAATAAGTTGTTTCAGACAGACATGGTGAAATATGTTCATTTTTAGCCAGAGAGGGAGGAGGAACTAATCAGCGAAATGACTTGGTGAAGAATTTAATTGGAGTATAAATATTTACACATTTGGCAGCAGTATGCTGTGTGGTTTTTAATCTCTAAAGCAAGCTTGTCCTGTTTTAGGGTGTCGAGAGGCTCCTCCAAACCCTTTTCTTGCTTTAAACTTAATGTATATTATTCTTGATATTGTATGTTTTCACTGACCAACTGTTGAGTCATTCTGTTTTGCAAAGGAAGAAGATAACAAGAATTTTTGCAAAACCTGTTTACTGTTAAAAAAAAAATAAGCAGAGAGAATTGAAATATTTGGCCTAGTACATTTACTCAATTATGGTTCATTTTAGCACTTTGGCCTCTGCAGTGCACCTTAAAATACCCCACAGTCATCTTAACAAGCTTTCTCCAGTAATTTGTGGTTATGGGGATGGATTACCTCAGGGCACTGTAATGGAGAACTGCAGGTTTTTCCATATGAATAAAGCAGGAGGAACGGCTCCTATAGAAAAGAAAAAAAGTGGCCACTGATTGAGTGAATGCTCAGGAATTTGCTGATCAGCATTAAGTTCGTGACATTATTCAGTATCCTTCATGCCGGCAGAGTAGTTATTGCCGTAGCTTGAAGAGGGTGGTGGGTTTGAGCCAAACGCGAGCTGCTTTCTCTGTGGAACTGGTATGTTCTGCCAATCTGTGTGCCTGGTTTAAATTAGCACCAGAATTTGAACTTGACAGATGACAAAAATGGCATTTGGCAGTTTGTTAAGATAATGAGACACATTATTTTTACAGCTGTGTGGTTTTATTTTCCTGTTCTTTATCTGATTTACTGAGATGTTTGATCCAAACTTTTTTTTTAGCAATTCTAAGTTGGTGCATGGACCTTTTTTTTTCCCCGCTGATCTAAAATAACCTGAATCTACTCTAGTAAAAGGCACTTAGGCGGAATATGTGAAAGCAAATATTCCCAAACTAACGGTTGCATTTCCACTAACAGCGTGAATATGTGTTTTGACTTTGCACTCATTAAGGGTGAAGTTATTCAAGATTTAGCTGCATCTTTCACCAGTATTGCACTCTGTAGATGGTCACTATACACTAAAGTCATGGCTGGCTGTGCATCTAGGCTTCTTATTAGGAGCCAAAAATCAGCTCTTTAATGAGGGAGTATAGCTGCCAATTTAAGTGAGTGTTTTCCCAACTAGTTTACTTCAGTGTGAAATGTTAAAAATAAGTGAGAGCTTCACAAAAGAACTAGAAGAATAAAAATTAATCTCTGTTGCCAATTGAACACAAGCCAGTGCTTTTTTTTATTATCAGCTATAAAACCCAGCCATTACAGTTATTAATATAATTATACACATCCTTTCGATAGTCCAAGGTAAAACATGTGAAACTGATTTTCCACAGGCGATTGAAAGATTTTATGTGTTTTTAATGTGTACATTTTTAATCCTATAAAAAAACTGCAGGAAATATGTCGTTTTTAATAGTTGTGCAATCCACTGACAAAGTCTGTCCTACTGTTGGGCTGTTCTTCTTTTTTTTTAAATTATTCTTCCCCTCTATTCTCCAAATTACAAAGGTATGCTGATCTATGTTTAGAGTCAGTAAACAATGACTCTGTCCTCTTTGTTGGTCTCTGGGCTCATATGGAGAAGGTTTTCAGCTGTAATTTTATTGAGGAGTATTTTGGGACACCTACAATGCACAGTTTGCTTTTAGGGTATCCCTGAGCACTGATTAACTCAAGTTAAATTTGAAGAGAAGAACTGACCAGTCAGTGACACTTCCATTTGTGTTTTTATGTGGATTTGAGCTTTTTATTAACAGTAAAGTATGTTGATTTTAAAGGCTTATTAGAGAGAGAGTAACAGAGGATAATAAGTGAGATTGTAGTTATCGGTTGGACAAGAAAGATTCCCACGCTTCCTGTCAGTTGTGGTTCCAGCTGCGGTCTCAGTGGGGCTGACTCCCACAGGCTCCATCACGTCATTGTGGTTTGTCAGCTGATCCCAGGTTAATTTGCACTTCCTTCAGTGGGGCTTCTCCCTTCTCTCAGCAACAGCGATCACAGCTGTAAAATTCTTTCCTTAATTTTGATATTAAATAAAAGGCAGAAAATTTCTTAGAATAAGTTGATTTGTTTCTGGGAAGAGTGAATCAATGTCAAACTTATTGTCCATCCCATCAGGTTGTTTGTTATGTAACCTCATATAATCTGATTTATAAATGTAATGACTGCCTAGTTTGTTATTCCTTGTACAGAGATTCATTTTCAAAAAAAAAAATAAATAAACTTTATTTTTCTGCAATTCTCTGCAATGTGGTCACTTTTACATTGTATGATGAGATTTATGTACAATCCTTACTTGACCTCAACTATCTACTATCTTTTCAGGTAAAGAAAACCCCCTCCTCTATACCAAAAATATGTAGAGCACTCTTTTTTTGGCCCCCAAAATTTACCATGTAGTAGATGGTTTACCTACAGCTATGGCCTTGGCCTTTAAAAATGATCCGTTTGTGAAATCTTATGTAACAGTGCAAAGTAAACAGATCACGCACTGCCAGAGTTGCTTGAAATATGTCGGCGTATGAGGTTACAGGTCAAGTTAAGGTTATATTGACTATCATTAAAATAGTACACAGCAAAAAATATTAGCAATCTTTTCACAAATACAAGAGATAAAATAACATGGACCGTCTTATTCAATTTAGCTCAGTCATCATTTGGTGCTTTGACACAAACTAAAACAAGCTGAAGTGTTTTCTAGATTTCCAGGTTATATTGAATGTTGATGTTTTCCAATTAAGTTAAAGTAAAAAAGATTTGTAAAAGCAAGAAATGTATTTATTAATGCTACTTATTAAAGACACATTTATGATACTATTAAATCAATGTTATTCCTCAGCTGTGTAGTCTTGCTATAGTGTTTTTTACTCTGTGATTTCAATGTTTGGTTTGGGTACTAATATAACTTTACTCATACTGTGCTGTTTTCCTTTTGTCCTGTGCTTCTGCATGTCTGTCTGCCAGGAATCTGTTGTATGTGAACCCTCAAAGCCTGAACTTCGCCAACCGACAAGGCTCCGCCCGCAACATCACAGTCAAAGTGCAATTTATGAATGGAGAGGATCCAAACAATGCAATGCCGGTAAGTTGCCATGAAATGCATCAGATGAAGAAAATCAAAAAGAATTTATCAACGTTTTCCTCGTCTTGTCTGCCACTGAAAAGTAAAAACACTGGCCATTTGTTGGGAGCTATGCACTGCATTACTTAACAGCAAGCTGAATACTTCCAAGTATGCTATGAGTAAATACAAATAATCCTGCATGGCTTCACAAATGTCTAACTGTCGTGTTTTTTCATCTTGAAGGTGATATTTGGGAAGTCCAGCTGTGCAGATTTCTACAAAGAAGCCTATACCTCTGTGGTGTACCATAACAGGTAATCAAAGATGTGTTTTAATATTCTTTGTCTTTGTTGGAAAAGTCTTTACTGAGCTCTGCAGGGACCATGTGATCATGATGATTATTAACTGCAGGTAAAATCAGGCTCCTGTTTGACCTTAAGGGTCCCCGCATTTATTCTATTTCATTCAGCCTTGTTGTGTTACTATTATTGTAGTGTGATTTATTTGAAGACAGCTTTTGGGAATTACATGACAACCTTAAGTTCTGAAAATCTGACAGCCAATTCATTGATTTTCTCTACTGATTTAATATTAGCTGAGGATCTACTCTTACACCTCCATCATCTCTTTTAATGGCATTCATTAAAGAACAGGTTGAGTCAACCTTCTGGATAGTGTCAAGTGGTGTCCTTGGCACAATTTTCTTCCATCTCCATCGAAGAACTAAAGGGTCTTAAATATTTTACTGCCCATATTAGGTGTTTTTTATAACGTGGTTTGTCGTTAGTCACCCAGGGGTCACACCTTAAAGGCCAGAATGAATCAGCTGTGAATAATGTAGATGAAGATGATCATGCATCAGCGCTTGATCAATTAATAACTGAATCACGAACAAAATTATCACCAATAATTTTATTAAACAGGGATGAGTGATTTTTTTTAAGGGGAAATAAAAACAACTCTGATTAAAAAAAAGCTTTTAAATCTGAAAAATCTGTCACTTCTTTGTGCTGTTCATCCTCGAGTTTATTTTTTATGTCTTTAAGAACAAGAATAATTGTTCCCATAAGAAATGACAGGCTGCATTGACTTTTTAAAGCAGTTTCTTTCACTTTAAAGGGTTCCTGATGGTTTCGTTGGTGGTCCTACTGTAGTCGTGGGTTATTTGTTTTGTGCACTGGCCTGTAAGCAAAGTTTCCCCCTGGAGTACTACAAAGGATTCAGCCAAAGTGTTTCACAATGTGTTACATAATTTCTTATTAGACTCTTTGATTTTTACTGTGAGGTCCTGCCTGTTCTGCAGACAGAGTTATAAATGGACTTTGGCATAAATATGGTTTTAGAAAATTTGTTGTTCAGTATTTTTATGTTTGTGCATGGATGGAAAAAATGTACTCTTATATAAGACCCTGTTTAGCTTGAATTGCACAACATAAAGGCAGTAAAAGTATTTTCATAAGGGTCTAAAATAAGTTATTTTGCAATGTCTTGGGAGAACATTAAGAGTATGACTGATTTGTCCCTGATTAGAGATCATGATCTGTGGAGTATTCGCTGGTATTTGGAAGTCATGACCACAAACAGGCAATCAGTAGAAAAAATCTGTTTCAATCCTTTTGGCCTAATTGAGGAAAATAAACATTTTTTAGGGAACAAGTGAGTGATAACCCAATGAGCAGAAAGTCTGTCTACAGTTAGACATTATTGTGGTTTATAGTGTGTTCAGGCAACAAGAGGTCCACAGTATTTGGAGAAATAATGAAGGTTGTTAGATTTTAGTGCTGTGACCTCCAGAGGACATCTTAATACAGCTGTTTTGTTCCTCCTTGTTCTATCATTTACTGAATATAGAGCAGCGTTGGTTGGTGTTTTTGATTAGTTGTACTTATTTTTATTCGACTGTTTTTTTGCAGATCCCCAGATTTTCATGATGAGGTCAAGATCAAGCTGCCTGCCTCCCTATCGGACCACCACCACATTCTCTTCACCTTCTACCACGTCAGCTGCCAGCAGAAGCAGAACACGCCGCTGGAGACTCCTGTGGGATACACGGTAGGAAATAATGACAGACAGAGCTTCTGTGAGAACATCTGTGGCCATGTGTGGGCTGTAGGTAAAAGCTGTTTGCACTCACTCTACTGTGGTAAACTTTGACTCACCGATTAGCAAGAGTATTACACTGAATAATGCTAATCCTCTCTTCCACTGTGTGAAAGTTTGTATTTGAAACATGAATGGCCTTGTACTTTACCCCACATCAAACTCTCCTTTGTGTATTTTTCTCCAAATCTAGTGGATCCCCATGCTGCAGAATGGACGTCTGCGAACAGGACACTTCTGCCTCCCTGTGTCTCTGGAAAAGCCTCCACAATCCTACTCTGTTCTCTCACCAGACGTAAGATGCATTTCTTTAAAATAATGCAAGTCTTTAAGTATGAATCAGTTATTCTAATTATCTAAAAGCATAAGTTTAGGTAAAATATGCTGAAAGGGGCAGCACAACGTTTTGCTTAAGTTTGCAGTTCTTGCTGTCAGGATGTTTTATGAAGGCGAGAGAATTAATGTGCTTTAGCCAACCCAAGTGAGGTGTTGAGCAGATTCAGAGCAGCCTTTAAAAATCAAAACTGAAGCAGACTCTTTGCCCCCATTTGTTCGTTTTTCCAGTTCTTCACTCTCAACATTTTTTTTTAGGTTCCTCTCCCGGGGATGAAGTGGGTTGATAACCATCGGGGAGTGTTCAATGTAGAAGTGGTGACTGTTTCAACCATCCACACACAGGTAACATCAACATGTATATTACTTCTATATCCAAGAGATGACTAGTGCTGACAGTCCTTATTTGTCATCCCCCATCATCCTCCTCTGTCTCATCTTCATAGTCGAGTCATCAGAATGACAGTACTCAAGCAAAATTAAAACCATATCCTGCTTTTAAATTCTGTTGTTACTTTAGTTGCCATAGAATTATTTCGATTTTCACACATAGGTTTCCTCTTGAAGTTCAATAACAGTGAAGAGAAACAAACACTCTGTTTTCACATTTGGACGGTAATTCCCCCCAAGCATCAGTTTATTAGTGGTTGAACCTTGCCTTGCCAGTAATTCGCTGAGTCTACTCCATCTCTGTACTGGCTAGGGTGGGGAGGGTTTAACTGTAGTCCCAAGGAGCCCAACTGGGACTAATGTGCTCATAAATCACTTCTCCTGGCGCAGATTAGACTCGCTGGATTCTGCTATGTTCTTGTAGTAGCCTTTGTTTTGTGGTTCCAACTTGGTGAGCCAACTTAAGACAAGTGGATTCAAGCAAACTTCTGTTTGTGGACTCCCTCGAATGATTTTTTTCTTCATGCTCCATCACTCCTCCTTTAACTCTCCTTTCTCTTCATGCATTTTTATTTCCTTTCATGCTTTTTTGTCATTTTCTCTCCCCATTATCTTGCACTGCTTTTTTCTTACTCTCTTTCCTCTCTCCTCATCCAGGACCAGTATCTTGATAAGTTCTTTGCCTTGGTTCACGCCCTGGATGAGCACATGTTCCCGGTCAGGATAGGAGACATGCGCATCATGGAGAACAACTTAGAGGCCGAGCTCAAGTCCAGCATCGCAGCTCTCAACTCCTCCCAGCTGGAACCAGTGGTTCGGTTCCTTCACCTTCTGCTCGACAAGTTGGTGTTGCTTGTTGTGCGACCGCCGGTCATTGCTGGGCAGATAGGTATGATATATTCACACTTGACTAATAAATTATCGATTACGTATTGATTTTGCTTCAGCTTAGAGGTGTTAATCTCCTCCGTGTTGTCGGGTTTCACTTTTACCAGATTAGTTTCTCATTTTCTTTTTTATTACAGCGAGCAGACTTAGAAATGAAGGTCAGAAATCAAAGTGTAGTAAGAGCAACTGAGCTGCTGTGATGTATTTAATGTTTGACTCTGGGTTTACGTCATGGCAACATTTTGTTTCACGCAGATAAATGGAAAAGATCAGTTATAAAGAAAAGTACATGTCCTAGGGGTCTATCTTTAAAATAATAATTTACGTAAAGGGGAGTGATGCTTGAGTAAGAGGGGACCAACACTGTGCAGCTTGTTTATTAGACTAAAAAGCAAAGCTGTCCATTTTAGTTCTTCATCCAGATGACTTGTGATTGCACACACTGATGACAGATTTCCAGCAATTTGCAAACAGATCCATGAGACCATTAACTATTAATAACAAGCTTCAGAAAATGTGTTTATTCAGAGTATTGGTTTAACTTACCTAGGATGTAAACAGTTCTCTAGATTATTCAAATTCTTCAATGATAATTTGCAAATACATACGACAGAAAATATCAAGTTTTTTGTGGGTCATCTTGTGGACTTTCGTACTGTAGCAGAGTGTGTTTTTGATCTTTGTTCATGTCTGCATTGTAACATGGCACTCTGCTTCTGTCTGCACGTGTCTGTGTGCGTTCAGTGAATCTGGGCCAGGCATCCTTTGAGGTCATGGCATCCATAGTGAACCGGCTTCACAAGTATTTGGACACCAGCCAGGACATGCATGGCCGCAACGGTCTACTGTCCTCTTACATCCACTACGTCTTCCGACTTCCCAGCGCAGACCCTAACTCGCCCTCTCCAGGTATTTTTTTGGACACTGAGTTTCGTCTTACACATTAACCTTTATTCCTTGTCTGTTTTCTTGTTTTCTCCCTATAAGTTAACTTCATTCAACCCTCCGCTCACCTTCACTGTGTTTCTATTGTCAAACCTACCTGCCATAATTTTTCTTCTTCTATTTCTTTTTATCGTTTGCCTTTTCCCCCTCCTACATCTATTTTGTCTTCTGCCTGCCCAACACAGACCCCAACTCATCTGTAACAGGTACACACAACTGTACATCCTGATAATGTGTGAAATAATAGCTTTAGTTCTTGAATACAAATGTATCCAGCAGTTATTTTCAGTGGATAATTCAATATGTGGTACTCCCAGCATATTTCACATATACAGACAAGATTAGTTGCTAATTACTAAGGATAATGAGTTTCTTGATATTTTATTTTTTGTTCCCTACATGTCATTTTGTCTAAGTTTTGGGTACACTCCTCTTTTCCTTTTTTTCTCGTTGAAAAGGATGGAGGCTGTCACAGACTTAGCAGAAGTAGTTACCTCTTCACATCCCAGTTACCCCACCTCCTTCCTTATGTTTCCTCAGGCCCTGGAGGGTTGGGCGGTTCGGTACACTATGCCACTATGGCTCGTTCGGCGGTACGACCAGCAAGCCTCAACCTCAACCGCTCCCGTAGCCTCAGCAACAGTAACCCTGACATCTCCGGTACTCCCACTTCCCCTGACGACGAAGTCCGCTCCATCATCGGCAGCAAGGTGAGTCATCAGTAATATTTTCAGTCAGACACCAGCCCGTGACTTTTATTTTTATCTCAGTACTTAGAGAATTCGGTCTGTTTTCTTCAAGGGCAGAGGAGAGCACGTTCAAACTCAAAGTGTTCCACGTGTCTCTCATGTGGACAGCAGGCATAACTAGTTATGACAGGCAAATAGCACAGTTAAATATTTAACAAAGCTGTGGTCCTGCAGCTCTTATTGATTCGTGATGCATTTTAGACACACTAGTGTGAGGTGATTGTACTGCTCTGTAGCTCTCAACCCATAAATGCACAGACCTCCCATGTGTTCATTGCTCAGGGGGACTATTTTATCAGCATGCAAACTGTATTCCCAATGCGTAAACATAGGATTGGACATGTTATCTTTCTAACCCCTGTAGCAGCAACCTGTCATACACAAACCCACACGCATACCCTCATAATGCACCGTGTGTGCAGGTTGTGAAAGGCTCCAGAGACGTTTGGGTAACGGTCACATCAGTAAGCGGATACTTTCAAGAGACAAAAACACATAGTTTGAATAGTCCTTTAATGGCATTAATAAAAGCCTCAGTCTCTTCTAGTTTCCTTTTTTCTTTTATTTGATTTTATTTATATGTTGTATATTTGCCTTGAATGATTTCCCACTTTTTTTATTTAACCCAATAGTTCCTGAGAAGTTTGTGAATGCAGCCCCTTGTTTAATGAATGTTCCCTTTGCCTTCGCTTATACTTAACCAAACCTTTCTTCTCTTGTCTCTGAGGGAGGGGGAGTTGTGTCTTACACAAAGACTAAAAGGGAGAGAGAGAACCTAAGTGCTTTGCTCCTCTGTGGTGATGATTTGGATTTTTTAATTTACTGTCTTCTAACCTTTTTGATTTGGTCCTTTGGCATCTTCCAGCAGTCCTGACCACTGAACCTCTCTAACCTGTCATTGTTCCTTCCCTCCTCCTTCCCCCGTGCTGCTCGCTCACTCCCTTGCTTCCTGCCTGCCTTGTGTCCTTTGACCTTGGCACGCCTAGGGCTTAGACCGCTCCAACTCGTGGGTGCACACCATGGGCTGTAAGAGTGCCCCCTGGGGATCCAGCCCTGGGTCCGCTCCAGAAACCATGCAGGTGGTTTAATGAATGCCCCGTCCTTCACCTTGCCTCACTGCAAAAACAGCTCACCCTCTTCACCTTAAAAAGGATACTGGGATATTTGGAGTTTTGGTTTATTTGTTTTTTAATATTTGCCAGAAAAAGGTTATTTTTACTGAAATAAGGGTGAGAATTTGGGCAGTACATATTCTTCTTCATCAGGACTTAAGATTTTTTTTATCCCCATAGTACGATCATATTTGATCACATTTTCCTTTGATAGATTTAACTGACTTTAAAGCTACTATTCCACTTTTGTATTCACTGTTTGTTAAATTTCCCCAAACTACAGCGATTCCTACATGTAACCTAAAGACAGAAAAGTCCAAAACTTCAAAATGTTACAGTATTCTGGTTAACTTTAAATGGAAACCCTCCCATGAAGCCTTTCATGGGAGTCACAGCTACCTCCATGACTCTGTCTCTCATGCTAGAATCTTGATTCTCATTCCTTACTCATGCTTATTCCATCTAACACCTCCCTTTTTCTCACTACTTGCATGAATCCACATTAAATCTCAGTTCAGGTATTTGGGTACCTTTTCTTTTCTTTATGGCAGCACTTTAACATCGCTGGCCCCTTTTCCATTCTGCCTGTTTTCTCTTGGGTTATAATTTCTGAACCCAAAACTAAGGCACACAGTAAGAAATGTTGAAGTAGAGAAGAAAAAGAGTAGTGTTAGACATCATCTTTATGTAGTTTTCTTTATTCATTTACTCGCCATTCTCAGCATTAACCTCATAGTCTCCATTCTCAGCTAGTACCCCTGCATGACTCATTACTAACCCTGCATAGTTACATCACGTTGTCACTGGAGCATGGTATACCTGTGAGTGTGTATGTGTGTCTCCTTTACTTTCAATCTTTGTGTCATATTATTTTGTTTTTTATCTTCATTTTAGGTTGCCATGACAAAAATATATATAAACATAAATATATATGTTTTTTTTATTTGTTTTGTTTGTTTTTCATCAATACATCTATTATTGTTACCATCACAAAACCAAGATGACATCAATTCTGCTCATTGTAATGATTTAAGGAGTTTACTGCATTGACTTGAAAATTGATAAACAATTGATAATGGTAGCAAGAATATTATGATAGGCCGTCTATCAACTAGGGATGGGTGATATGAGCTAAAAAAATTATTTTTCAATAAAAAATATTATAATTCCAATCTATATTTTTGACTCATTTTGTCTCGCGAACACTACTTGAAATAGTCAAATAAGATACTTATCCTCAAGTTTGAGTGGTAGGTTATGGAGAAAACTCTTATTGCACAGAGTGAACAGCAACAGATCCACTGTCCGATGTCAGGCATACCTGGTTGCGCTTGAAGGAAATCCCTTATGTGGAGCCTCATTCAGTAACGAGCTGCTCAGAAATGTCTTCTTCTTTACCTTCGGCCATGTTTGTTTGTCATGCTCTGTGTGGGCTATGGCTGCGAATCCGTCGGTCGCACTTGCGTCATCAACTTACATTTATCGTATTTATCATGAGATGACCAATGTAGGATTTTTTCTGACGATAAATCGTTAACAATAATTTATCACCCATCCCTACTATCAACTATACTACCTGCCATTTAACATTTATGAAGTATAGGATTAAGAATGGCCCACCAGTAATCTGGGCGATAAACAATGTCATGATTTTCCATCAAACCACAAACCATTGATTTGGGTACAACAGTGTTAAACTGCTGTGGCCCTGTCCTTTGCCCATATGTTGTTGTTGTTTTTTTGTCTACGTGTGTACAACAGATCACAAAAGTGTTTTAAGTGTGCATGTATGTGTGAGACCAAGCAGACACATTTTCCCTGTGTGCTGTGGAAAAAGGTGCAATCCTTTTGCTCCCGTTGCTCCTCCACTAACCTTGTTGTCACCGTTCCATTCATTCCACCCATAGGCCATGGAGCGCTGTGGCAATCGCATGTCTTCGCACACTGAGAGCGCCAGTTTCTTGCAAACTTTAACAGGACGGTTGCCCACAAAAAAGGTAGAGCCACTTGCACTGGGGGAGGAGCCAACCCCGCCCACCTCTCTACTCGCCTCCTCACCTGTCTTGTTTGTGGATGTGTGCCTCTCGATTGGTTGGTGTTGTATGTGGTGGTCGTGGAGTCTTGTTGAATGCTGAATGTCTCTGATCTGCCCGTTATCCTGAATGTATCACCGGTTTTTGGATGCCTAATGAATGTTTTTAGTGGTCTGGGAAGTCTCCTTTCATTTTGCATTTTTTTACTTATGCACTGGGTGCCTGTATTTAATTTTTTTTTTTTTTGTAAATGTATATGATTTTTTAATGTATCTTTTATTATTTAGAAAGGTGCAACACAGTTTTACTTTTTGCTAATTTACTTTGGCCTCATAAAAAATGTGGTACTGAAAATATAGACCAGGTTAGTTTGGCAGGTATGAGGTCTGGTCTGTTTACCATTTTCCCCCCAGAACTTTCAACTACTACTACTTTTAAAGAAGCAGCATTAATATTTCATGTAAAACAACGACATTCACAAATATCTCACTTCTTTGTGCAGCGCTTGTGTTTTGTACACAGTTAGTCACAGTTAGTTTAGACCTCTTCCAATTATTTATCATATCTCAGCACAATTAAGGGAGACTTGCCAGACTCTTACAGAGTTAGCCAGACTGTGTTGAGTGCTAAAGAACCTAAAGAAATGCTTTTCATAAGCATCTGATTCTTATTAGTTTATAGATATTTAATTGATATGGTTCTCTTCATGAAAAATCAATTTAACTACTTTTAACATATTGAGGCGGTAAGATAATGAAATCCTATAATTTGCTGCATGATGATGATAATGGTGCATTTTGGTAATCTAAGAAGAATAAATGTTGCTGCATTCTTCTGTAAATCATAGTCTCTTTATATGTTTCTCACTTTTCTGTATCAGAACGTGTTGATCTGGTGACTATGACTGTAACATGATTCAGTATCAATCTTCACTTTGTCTTTAATCATTTTCAGTGTTTGAGGCGTCGGAGCTCAGCTGAACTGTATTTTCATATAGAGAATGTTAGAAATGCTACTGATTGTTAACTTAATGTCTGATCTGCTTATTAGTAGAAATGCCCTAAATTTCATTTAATACTGCGTAGTCAATTCACAGCATGTAGACCCAGGAAGATTTCAGCTTTTAAGACAGACCGTGATTCTTATTCTGGTGCCTCACATTCTATCTGTCTGGCCTTGTTGCCTCTTCCACTTCTTCCTCTCTTTCCACTGTTCGACTTTCCTGACCTATTTAGCTCTTTCATGAGGAGTTGGCCCTCCAGTGGGTGGTGAGCAGTGGAAGCGTCAGGGAGGGCGCTCTTCAACAAGCCTGGTTTTTCTTTGAACTCATGGTAAGACAATGGTTTGAGATTTTTTTGTACAGAAACTTTTTGTTTTAGCACTTGTTTGTGGTTCAGTGCTTCTCAAAAATGTCTAATATTCTTCCCACCATCTTTGCTACAGGTGAAGAGCATAATCCACCACCTGTACTTTACCGATCGCTTGGAGTCCCCCAGGAAGAACCGTTTCCCAGAGCGCTTCATGGATGACATCACAGCCCTGGTCAGCACCATTGCTGGAGACATTGTGTCTCGCTTCCAGAAGGTAAGCAGGGATGGTGTAGACACTGAGTACAGTTCAGATTTGGAGCATAAATTAATTTTACTTCTTATTTTTCAAAAGTGTTTTCTGAGAGAGATTTGACCATTTTGTCCTCTTTGAGCGCTCTGTTTTCTCTGCTTTCATCTTTTTTTTGTGGTTGTTTCATTGATTTCATACATATTTCGCAGGAATACGTTTTTAAACTTCAAACTTAAGAAACTTAAAGTCTGTGTTTGTCATCCAATCAGGACCTGGAGTTGGTGGAAAGACTAAACACTAGCCTGGCCTTCTTCCTGAACGATTTACTCTCAGTAATGGACAGAGGTTTTGTCTTCACCCTGATCCGGGCGTACTGGAAACAAGTAAACACTTTTCTGCATTAAACCCTACGCTGTACTTGTGTTTATTTTCTTTGTTTGAATTGTTTTTAGTTCTTCTTATTTTTTTTCATTACAAAGATTCAAGACAATTTAGAAGGATTAAGAAAAAAACTAATTCAGTGCCTCTACCCAGATTTATAAGTCCTGGAGTGGGTGGATATTGGATGTTGTAGTTTCTTTGTATATAATGAAAAGAAGTACACCCTAGAGAAGTCCTAAGAGACATTCCCTGAGATATATTCTGCTATGAAGTGGATCCAAAGGATAGAAATGACTTAAACTGACTTCCACCTGTCCTTGGATTGATTTATTACGGACAAATTCATGAATATTCAACATTTTTTTTTTTCGACAAAGTTACTAACATATATTCTTTAAAAGCATCAGTTAATTTAATGCTTACTGTTACCTCTTCTCAGGTGTCCACAAAGCTTTACGCCCTGCAGAATCCAACCCTGGAGTCTTTGAGGCTTGATTTCTTGAGAATCGTTTCCAGCCACGAACACTACGTCACCCTCAACCTGCCCTGCAGTCTGCTCACCCCGCCTGCCTCACCTTCCCCTTCAGTGTCCTCAGCAACGTCACAGGTCAGACAAAAAGTTGACGTGATGACAACATTCATTTTACTGCACCAAATAAATTGATTACATATCAGTTTTGTCTTGAACAATTTTCACAGTCCTGTAGAGTCAAAACAATTAGGAATCCAAAGGCACTATTTGCTTCACAGCATTGGGGCCCCTTAAATTAGTCTTATATGTTTGGATTTTCTGACTTCTCTCCTCAGAGCTCTGGGTTCTCCACACATGTACAGGACCAAAAGATTGCAAACATGTTTGAACTGTCAGTCCCCTTCAGAGAGCAACACTATCTGGCTGGACTGGTTCTGTCCGAGCTGTCAGTGATACTGGACCCAGACAATGAAGGGTCAGTACAATTTGGATGCACACTTGTCTCATTGTCTTTATGTCGGATATAAACATCTGGGTCTGAGAGATAATCCCGTATAGGCGTGGAAGTTGTGATTTTCTCTCTGCATCTTTCTCTCTTGAAACAAAATCACTCCTTTCTAATTTGTTTCATCTTCTCTGTAGGATGTTTGGCTTACATAAGAAAGTTGTGAGTGTGGTTCATAACCTCCTGTCCAGCCATGACTCTGACCCACGGTACGCTGATCCAGAGGTGAAGGCCAGAGTTGCCATGCTTTACCTTCCACTCATTGGCATTGTCATGGAAACACTACCACAGCTCCACGACTTTACAGGTGAGTCTTACCAGGTTTCCCTGAATTTAAATAGCCGTGTTGTTGCATTCTGGTACGAATCCAAACTGCACCGAGTTTCTCCCCCTGGATTACTGGCCTGGTAGAGGCATCATGTGACAAATGAATAGAGCTATCCTCACAGTTACATTGGTGAAGTTGCGTTAGCATGTTCTGTGGCACTCAAAAGGTTATCACTTGACCTGCAAAGGATGTTGCACCTGAACATGACGTACAAGTCGATCTCTGAGTTCAGTTCTCTTCTCTCATGTTACCTACCCTTCTTGGATCCCCCACCCAAATGAGACTACTGTCCTTAAAACTTAGGCTATTAAGTTTGAAGTTTAATTTGAATAAAAGTTGGTCTTCATTACCTCCACAGCACATTTTCAGTCTCTTGTGTCTGTGCTGCACAATGAAAACGTCAGTTAAAGTATTTTTTATGAACTTAACCATTTAATTCTCCTGTTTTTTTCCTGTTGAATCACCAGAGTCCCATAACCAGTGGGGTCGGCCAGGTGGTCCACAGGGGACAGCGATGGGCAGTGGCGGTGAAGAGACAGAGGGCGAGGGTAACAGCTTGATCAGTCAGACTGTTGCCATGGCAATAGCAGGAACCTCCACTTCTTCCCCGATGTCCCGACCAAGTAGCTTCTTGCTGAACTCGCAGGTGATGATCATGTATTTTAAAGCATCATTAGGCTGTTGTAGCTACATTTTCTGTATTACTTTCCTATTTCTTCCTGATGTTTATTCTATGTATTCTTCAGGCGAGTCGTCAGCATGGTAGCTTTTCAGCGGAGTCGAGCCGTAGCCTGCTCATCTGCCTGCTGTGGGTGCTGAAGAACGCAGACGAGTTGGTGTTACAGAAGTGGTTCACAGATCTGTCTGTGTCGCAGCTCAACCGCCTGCTGGATCTCCTCTACCTCTGTGTCTCCTGCTTTGAGTATAAGGTAATATCAGCAGTGAATTCCCCCACTAACTAAGGAAAAAGACTCATTGTTGATTTGTCGTTGCACACTAAGAATCGATAAGTTCTTGTACACAAAAATGCATGCTTCTCTGCAATGACTTAGCTTAAGTTGCTGAATATTGTGGTAAAATCAAGGAGGGAAATTTTCTACTTTCTGTGCCAAAGTCGCCTACTTCTCTTTCTGTATTTTAAGCTCTTTCTGCTGTGCAATCTGTTTGCTTTTTTTCTGAGCTTGCACATTCGACTTTGTGCTACTAACCTGCTTTCGCTTGCCGAGTGCTGTGCTGCAAATAACTTCCTCGCTATTTTCTCCATTCATTCGCTCTCCCTCTGCTTCATGGATACAAGGCCCATGTTGTGTTCACCATGCAGGGGAAGAAGGCGTTTGAGCGAATGAACAGCCTGACCTTTAAGAAGTCCAAAGACATGAAGGCCAAGCTGGAGGAGGCCATACTGGGCAGCATCGGGGCCAGACAGGAAATGGTGCGACGCAGCCGCGGACAGCTAGGTAGGGGAACACGATCTGGCACGCTGACTCACATTAACGTGAAATGACTGTTAATGGGAACTGCAAATAAATGCAAGGGGAGGCTGTAAAAACTCCAAATAATGTAAGTTGAAACATTTGTGTGGCAGACAAATACACTAAAGTACAGTCCACCAAAGCTAGCTATACATACTCTGTCCACATGCATGAATGCTGTCCACACAAACTGCTATTTTTGACAGTAATGTAGATCAAGCTTCAACCAGTCAGCCAAAGTCAAGTCACGTTCTGCTGTGTACACACTGCACCTGTCACCACCAACGTAAAAGTAAATAATTCTTTCTTCACAATTTAGAGCGGAGTCCATCTGGCAGCGCTTTCGGCAGTCAGGAAAATCTGCGTTGGAGGAAGGACATGACCCACTGGAGGCAAAACAGTGAGAAGATGGACAAGTATGCACATTTTTTTTTACATCTGGTTTACTTTCTGAATTCATTCTGAATGTTTTATGAAAAATATATATTCTCAAGACACCATAGATTGATTCTTCAACTAGTTGTGCTTCATACAATTTACTTTATATAACTCATTAAATGTGTTAAAACGCCCATCCTCATTTTTTACATCCCATCAACCCACATGTATAGTTCTTCCCCATTTTGATAAATACAAGTCATTCATCATCCATAAGAATTAACCAGTACATTATGTACATAAACTGCTCAAAAGAAGTGGATGCAGCAGGAATGACCCCATTAATAAAAAGACAAAGAAAATACACACTGTTAGAGAAACACCCCCTAAAGCATGCTCTTCTGTTTTGACTCCTGAACTATGGTTGGGACCCTTTATTTGCTTTGAAGTAGACATTGATAAAAAGATTGAGACTATAAACTCATGAGGCAAATATTTATAAAAACAAGAAGCCTATCGAGAACTAATGAAAGTGGGGTTCTTGAAGCAGCCTGTGGAGTCTGTCCCTGCAAGTCACTGGCTTTTGGATCTGGGTCTTTGTTCACTTCTTTTGCACAGCTTATGATCATAAGATGTATTTGTGTGGAATACACTCATGAATATGATCCACCATTAACAGATTAGGGTGTATCTGCTAAAATGCTCACTTTATACTAAGCCACCACACACTTTCTATGCCTGCTAAGTTTTGTTGTAGCTGTTTGAACATTTTTCTGGTTTAACATCGAAACAGAACTTTAAAGTCGTTAAATTTCCATATTAACTCTTTAACTACAAATGTCTGTCTTGCATGCACACTTAAAAAAAGCTACAATTGTGTATCTTATGTCACTTTTGTGGAACAGTGACAGAACATACAATGCAAAGCTTTCTTTGATTAGAAGTTTTATATTTTTTTTCATCATTTGTAAACTCAGCTCCAGCCTTTGTTTTCTGTTAATTTCCATTTGTTTTCTCACGTTGCTGTGTGTTTATGTAGGAGTCACAGAGCAGTCAGGTATTGTATGGTCCACATTTGCTGTGTTCATTTGAATTTCCCCGCTGCCTTAGCTCCTCATTCATGATGTGTTCAGGTGCTTGTGAGCAGTAAAGACAGTTAATATGGACACAAAATAATCAACTCATTTGCTTTATTTCCTTCTGATCAAGTTTACTTTAACATATTCTAGATTTACCACCTAATGTTTTTTTTTTCCCTCATGGCCACGTTAGGATTTATTCAGTGTCCTTATTAACTACTCAAGCTCACATATGCACATGAATGCACCAAAAGATACCTCCTCATGCTGGTTCCTCTCGCCCGCATCCCATCAGTCCCTCTGTCTGGGTAACAGTGTCTGTCTCAGGGTTGGTAGTGATTGCAGTGGGTCTGTTTTGCTTCTTAACCAGTGTGCTTCTTGTTTATGGGTTCTGACTTGTATGTCTCCCTGGTTGCTGCTTCAACAAAAGAACGGGACGATTGTAGAAATAGTTTTTATTAGGCACTGATTGTTTGATTTTTTTTTGTTTTTCAAATTAAGAAAATGAAAGATCTGATGCATTGTGACTAAAACAAGTCCTGTTAAAGCTTAACCAGCCGCAATTTTAGGTCATGTAGATTGACAACATTTCGTTAGTATTTGGGGTATAGATCAGGAACTCACCCACTCACTTAGTAAACAATAAAAAAAACAACCTTGTTGACTTCAAACCTCTTAACCTCTGGTGGGGGAAGATTTTGGCATGAACTATCAGCATGTGTCGATGCTGTGGATCATATGAATAGTTTGATGTCGGTGCCTGGCAGGTAAAGAGACTTCTTGCAGTGTGACTTTAAATGTAGTGAAACGGCTTTCTTAGCCTGGTGCTGTTATTTTGAAGATATGATAATATATCAAAGCACAGGAAATCATGAAATTTTTTACCAGATCCTACTCAGTTAATGATTTTTTCCTTTACAACATATCTTTTTCCTTCCTCTGGCCAGTGGCTTGCATGTAGCAACTGAAAGTACATGCATTATTCACGGGGGTTATATAATTATCATCAGCATCACAGTTTAAGTAATTTTGTAAACACTGTTTTGTTCCTCGATGATAGGACCAGAGCAGAGCTTGAACATGAAGCACTTATCGATGGAAACCTCGCAACTGAGGCCAACATGATTATTCTTGATACTCTGGAGATCATTGTGCAGGTACGCAAAAGAAGCTGCATTTTCTCAGTAATAATGATAATTATCTTCTGTGTGAACGTATCTTGTAATGATTTCATTTGTTTCTCTTTTTCTGCAGACGGTTTCGGTGACAGAGTCCAAGGAGAGTATTCTGGGTGGAGTGCTGAAGGTGTTGCTCCACAGCATGGCCTGTAACCAGAGCGCCCTCTACCTTCAGCATTGTTTCGCTACACAGAGGGCACTTGTGTCTAAGGTTAGAGAACTAGACTTTGATTAAACTGCTAGATTTTAGGTCATTCTTTTCCTTTAAATGCTTATAACATATTATGACATTTTCCTCTTTGTCCAGTTTCCTGAGCTGCTGTTTGAGGAGGAAACCGAACAGTGCGCTGACCTGTGTTTGAGGCTGTTGAGGAGCTGCAGCAGCAGTATAAGCACCATCAGGGCCCACGCCAGCGCCTCCCTCTACCTCCTCATGAGGCAAAACTTTGAGATCGGCAATGTGAGTACAAGTTAAAGACTTCTCATCATTTGATCTGCAACATTTGTCGCCGATTCTCTCGACCCCATCCTGGTTAAATGGAAGAAAATGAAAGGATGGAGAGATGGCGTCTGTTCATTAACCGTTGATTTTTAATGTCACAGACTTTCTGTAATAGGTCTCTTTCAGATAAACTGATGCATTTTTTCAAGGACGAGAGTAAAAACTTATCACAGGTGCCTTCAGGAGTAACTTCAAATAGGAAATTTAATGTAAATGATTTAACTAAATGAAGCTCCACTCTGATAATTCAAAGTGATTCGTTTGAACTATTTAACATCTCATTAGCCAGCTTACACTTCTTACGTCCATGTTTTGTTTTAATCCTTTAATTCTTTTACTTTACAACACCAAATTAAGTGCAAAGTCAAACTCTGTAGTCCACGCTTTTGAGTTTAACCTCCAAGTTAGAGGAGATATCTCGCTTACAGAGCTTTGTTGTCACCTTTACATGATGCAACTCTTTCTTACCTTTCTTCTGTCTCTGGCTGTTTTACCAGAACTTTGCGAGGGTGAAGATGCAAGTCACCATGTCTTTATCTTCGTTGGTGGGGACGTCTCAAAACTTTAACGAGGAGTTTCTGCGTCGCTCTCTGAAGACCATCCTCACCTACGCAGAGGAGGACCTGGAGCTGAGGGAGACCACGTTCCCTGATCAGGTACTGATTCGTCTATTAGGAGATAGATCTATACATTAAGGATTGGTGAATCGTTGACAGTATGCCTCTTTTTTTTCTTAGGTCCAGGATCTTGTGTTTAACCTACATATGATCCTGTCTGACACGGTAAAGATGAAGGAACACCAGGAAGACCCTGAGATGCTTATAGATCTCATGTACAGGTACAGACCAAACCTCTACATATCTCTGCGTCTCAATCAGCATTCTCTCACAGTTAGGTTGGTTTCATGTGTGCGCCTGTGTTTTTCCTTCTGTTTCCAGGATCGCAAAGGGTTATCAGACATCCCCAGACCTGCGACTGACATGGCTTCAAAACATGGCTGGAAAACACTCAGAGAGGAACAACCACGCCGAAGCTGCTCAGTGTCTGGTGCACAGCGCTGCTCTGGTAGCAGAATACCTAAGCATGCTGGAGGACCGCAAGTACCTCCCAGTGGGCTGTGTCACTTTTCAGGTACCGAGAGAACTGGACTCATCGAATGTTCCTGTCTTTTAATGTATTAGATATGTTATAATGTGTGTACGCTTGCTTTCCACAGAATATTTCCTCCAATGTGCTGGAGGAATCTGCAGTCTCTGATGATGTGGTGTCACCAGATGAGGAGGGCATTTGCTCAGGGAAGTACTTCACAGAGATTGGTCTCGTGGGACTCCTGGAGCAAGCTGCTGCTTCTTTTTCCATGGTAAGGAATGGAGAAGGAAGGATGGGTGCTGAATGACTGGAGCTGACACACTGACTAGTATAAGTGTGTCATTAACCTCTGAGGTTGGATGATGAGCAGTTTTGAATAAAGACGTTTTGTTTCTGGTCAGATTTTCATGAAACTCGTATCTGTATTGTGCAGTTTTTACTATTTACACGAACACTATTTCAAATTTCCCGAGGCTCTCGAGTCGTGTGTGTTTTGGAAAGCTCATATTCTCAACCTCCCCTCCAGGCGGGCATGTACGAGGCTGTAAACGAAGTCTACAAAGTACTGATCCCTATCCACGAAGCCAACAGGGATGCTAAGAAGCTAGCCACCATTCATGGTAAACTGCAGGAAGCCTTTGGCAAAATTGTGCATCAGGTAAACACAAACACACACACACACACACATACGCGCACAAAATGTAAATCACCTCTTCCTCCTGAGGCTCCTGAAGCTGGAGGACAGCATATATTTTCTCTGTGCTTTTTAAAGTCCTGTGTTATGGATGAGGAGCGTAACAGAACAGCATGATCACTCAGTATGAGTACCTGTAAAGCTCACTGTCACAGTAACATAGCCGTTTGCACATCTCATATTACTGCACTCACAATAATGGGGCAGCATGAAGGGTTAGGGCCTCGAGCAGCAGAATATTATTTTGAACAGAAAGGTCAGGGCTGTATCAACAATGCCCCAGAAAACCACAATAATACCACAGACAACTGGGTTTATCCTGGAATTGTAGTCCTGTAACGTAGCCTTCACATAGACACAGCTCTGCATGGTTTTAGTATTCAAGTATTCCTTTACACTTTGTCAGACACCTTGCATGCTTTTTCATATCTGTGGAGTATGGAACAGAGGGTGCATGAAATGTGGGAAGAGATTCCTGTCGTGGTTTTTCTTAAAAAGCCCAGTTGTGTGACTCTTGATGATGAGGTCAAGTTACAGCGTGGGCAGGGTTACAGTTTTCTAGTGGTCAGAGCAACTGCTCTTAGACAGCCAACACGCTTGAAGCAGTCCATGGACTTCGTAAAAGAAGCAGATGTAGCCGCAATTTAGTTACTAAAGCCTCAAGTGTGTCATTTTGGAGAATGCCGTAACCTTAAGAAGCAGAAGTGAACAGATGTGGATGACAGGATCGAGACATCTCCACCCTGACTGACAAGCTGCAGCTTATAAATCATGTGCAGCCACATCTTCAATCATACTCTATCTTATTGTTGAATTTAATCTACAAATTCATGATGCTGTGTGAAGACTTCTACCTTAAATTAAGACTCACTATATCACAAGAAAAGTGTCCTTGCTTTTTTTTTCTTAAAAAAATTTCTCCTTCCTTTTTTTCCCTTAAAATGATCATGTATTCATTCTGTTTTATTTAGTTATTTATTTTTTCAAACTTATTTATCTTTGTATGTCTATTTGTTTATTCTGTTTGTTTTCCCTTATTACTACAATGTGTAATGGATATTTGATATACATCTGCATCAAATGCAGCAATACCGAGATATGGTATTATTATTATTATTATTATTATTTTGTTCTACACCACTGATCTTGTCTCAGATACTGTTCAATGTTTAGGAAAAAACTCTAAAAAAAATTCCAAAATAAAAAAGGAAAGTGTACACTGAGACAATGAATTAATTGATAGCAGGAGTCATTTTCAAACTATAGTTCCTCCCTGAAATCCATTTAAAAAACTAGAGGTTTTAGTCACTCTATACATTTGAAATCTGAGGTTTTGTCTCTTCTTCTATGAAGTCCAGGAATTATCAAGATTAGGTTACTTTTCTATAATGTCAGAGATCACTTGCTCTGTTCTTAGCTGGACAGCTTGTAACCTGGTTTAGAGTCCATCTTCTTGCTGTAACATCACTGTGTGTGCGGCAGCCACACAGTGTGTAGTTTTGTGGGAGGGCTGTTTGTGTGATGTTGTTCACTTGTCCTGTATTCTCTTTGTCACAGAGTACTGGCTGGGAGGTAGGTGGCTAAACAGTTCCTGCTTGGCCCTGCTCGATTTGTTTATCTCTCGTGCTTTATTTTGATTTACTCTCATCTTTTTATTTGCTAGCTGTGGGCATTCAGATGCTCTCTTGGCTTTGTTACATACGTCTGATTCATTAACATCTGCAGACAATGTCAACTGTCTGCTGGGGTCACGTTGCTGCACAAGCAGCAACACCCTGACTGTCTCCCTCTCTCCTTCTCCTCCTCCTCCTCTTCTTCATGTGACAGAGGAGCTTGTTTTTAATAACATGACAGAGTTGGCAGGCTGTGCATGGGAGCCACAGTGTGTGACACTAATGACAAAAGTCTCCGAGAATGCATCACCTGCACTTCCTCCCTGTCTTCATCTCCTGTCTGTCTGCTGCTGTGTTGGTCAGAAAACACAGTCATCTTGACTGACACACTTCATCCCATCTCATCTCATCTTCAACCACAGGGCTCGATTTCGGTGCACTTTTTACGCCACAGGATTATATGTTGACCTCTTCACTCTAGCCATTGGTCATTTTTTTCTCATAGCATTGAATAAGCCGGTGCAGACTTACAAGGCTGGAGCTAAATTCTTAAGGCAGTCAGTTTTTTTTTAAAGAGGGTTTAACTCACAGTAATCTCAGGATTACTTGATTTATCCTTTTTGATTTTGATCAATTTTTATTCTTGTCCCTTTTTTTTTTTTGACTAGTTCAAACTAAATCGACCCCTGATTTTATTTTTCATTCATCCTTTTCTGTTGTTAACAGTATTAACCTCTGAGTTCTCATGGTTTCTTGCATGACACAGACAGAGCACTCTGTTCTTTTTGGAAATGCACTGAGAGTGCATGTTGTGCTTCTGGAGGTGGTGGATCTTTAATATCTTGCTTTCTTTTTTCTTTGTTTGCCTTTGCATGGTCTGGATCCCCCACAATAAGTTCATGTTTTCTTCTAAATTAATGGAGATATTATTTTTGCTGTTGTATGTTAGTTTGTGTTGTTTTTGAAATTCTCTGGAGGAACCCAGTCCTCATTAAAATTTGTTCTTTTTTCTCCTTTTTGATTTCCCTGGTTGCCGACCCTTCCTCCCCACTTTACTTAATTGTGTCTTGTGGTAAGTTCCTCAGTATTCAGGGCCTTCTAAATTTATCTTTTTATTTATGTTGCAATCAGAAATTGAAGAATGTGTACTGGATTAATTTTTAACATTTGCTTTAAACTAGCAGGTACTAGTTTTTATAATTTTATAATCAGCTTCTCCCTTTACATAAACATGCACGTTTCTCAGCCCATACACACTTGTCTCAGACCACTTTTTGACTTCTTTGTCTACTCTCAAGGGAAGTAGCTTTCTTGGACGTTGTTCAAACTTTAAGTGTTTTATGGCCACATTGTTCACAAAGGTCTTCGTTGAGATAATTTTTTGACGTTTTTATTTTATGAAGATTGAGTCCAGAGAGTCCAACTCGTAAAAAAACCTAGAGCATTAAGACTTTTGCATACTAGACTCAAACCATAGTGGTTTAGGTGTAGGAAAAAGGCCTCTGTCACTGACTTTCAAAAAGAGTCTGTCTTATAGAGTACATTGCAGACATACACAGTCCTGATAGTTTTTTATTTTCACTTTGAGAAAGAAATCCGCTTTGCCTGCAGTCGTGAACAAAGCCTGTTACTACCTGATATGAATCCTTCCATCATGAGTTTGAAATAGTTTGAGCTCGGTTTGTTTCGTGGACTCTATTTAGGACTCCTTTTGTCTTTTCTGTGTCTGTTTCTGGGACTATTTATACCTGTGGCTGCTTTTGGGAAACTTTCTCTGTTACTTCAATCTTTGAACTGAGCCCTTTCCTCCCTGAAAATGACTAGTTTATTATTAGTATATTGATACACAAGAATCCTTTTTACTTCTTCTAATGAGGTTGAATTTCTTGTCAATCTTGTGTGCTGTGTTTTTTATGCTGGGATGAAACGATGCATCTGCCTTCCCTCTGGAGAAAAGTATCACAATATTTTATGACCAGATCACAGTCTTGATTATATCCCCTTCTTTTTCATATTTATTAAGATTATTGTACAAGTTACTGATCAGTACAGCAGAAACAAATTTCTCTATTTAAAACCAAATTACAGGAAAAAGAATAAGAGACAGTCTTAATCAAAGTACCTTTCTGAACATGTTTTTTAATCTGTGTGAGCAAAATCACCAACTATTACAATATCAACCAACACTTTGGCTAACTTCAAAAAGTAAATTAATGAACAACACTCTCGCTAAGTGCACTCTTGCCAAAGAACATCTGTGAGTTTATACACTCCACTTTGTTTCTTAGGTAGAAACACTGAGTTTTTAAGCATCCATTTCAATAACAAGTGTCTGAATCTTCCTGCATTAATTTGACTGTCTAGTGAGATTAAAGTGAAAAGGTAGTTAAACTCTGAAATCATCAGCTGATACAGTTCACACTCAGACTTCTACAGACCCTTACAGTTCAGCGTCCATGCAGACTCAATCTACTGTTTGTATTCTGTCTCTCCTCTCTGATATATCACAGTTTTATTCTACTTTATTCATGTCTGACAGAAGGAAGCATTTCACACAATCTTATTTCAGCACAAATTTATCTTAAAAAATAAACTAGTCAGAGTAAGAAAAGAATTTTTCTGCTTTATGATCTTCTCTAAAAAGAGGGAGTCTCTATGTTTACCATCATTGCAGTCCGCTGGATGTATGAAATCTGACATCTACACACGCAGTCTTCTGCTCTGCTGTTGAACAGATACTCATATAAAGGGACACTTAAAATGTAGGCTTTGCATTTTCATACTTAGTGTGGGCAGCTTTTTAATGCTGTGGATTGACTTGATGTGGCAGACGGTCTGTACCTGCAGCCTTTGGTCTGCAGGAGAGGATTCTGTCTGTGCTTCAACAATGAAGTCAACACACGTCTGTATGTGAGCATAAAAGTGCAACAGGATGTCCTCTCTGGATTTGCAGATAATGGACAGGTTCTTACCCTTAATTACCCGATATCCTCCTACCACCCTCATGTATCAATAGAACAAATGTACCTTGTGCTTGGGTTGGTTTAAACGTGTGCTTGATTTTGGAGAACTGTCTCCTCTTTCTTGCAATAGTCCCTTTTTTAAACTTTGGTATAATGCCACCAAAATATCAACAAAAACAGCAGAAAAGTCTGTCTTACTGTTCTTTAGCAGATTACTATACATAACAAGAGTGATCACCGTTTGAAGAGTTTTGACTGTAGCTGGTACCTCGTTTGAACAACTGTATTTCTTGAAACCTGAATGTGTTTTTAATGATTTTAGATTTGTATCAAACTGAACAGTTTTCTTACACACATATCATTCCTATTCTGCCTTTACGCTTACATTTATCGTCCTTTTCTTACAGGATGGAAAGAGGATGTTTGGTACATACTTCAGAGTGGGATTTTATGGTTCGAAGTTTGGTGACTTAGACGAACAGGAGTTTGTGTACAAAGAGCCAGCCATCACCAAGCTGGCTGAAATCTCCCACAGGCTGGAGGTAAATAACTGCATGTGGACTTCAGGTTTCAGTGTAACACCATGATCTGTATCTCTTCTGCTATGTGATGGTCTACTTACGCTGTTTCTCCTCAGGGTTTCTACGGGGAACGGTTTGGAGAAGACCAGGTAGAAGTCATTAAGGACTCAAACCCAGTGGATAAATGCAAGCTGGACCCTAATAAGGTACGTGTTTAGCAGAGGGTGAATATCTGCACTGTCAGAGCATCCATCTGTAACAGACAGATGTAAAAACTAAGCTATAAATGTTTTTTCCCTGCAGGCATTCATCCAGATCACGTATGTGGAGCCATACTTCGACACGTATGAGATGAAGGATCGCATCACTTACTTTGACAAGAACTACAACCTGAGGCGTTTCGTCTACTGCACCCCCTTCACTCTGGACGGACGGGCTCACGGGGACCTGCACGAGCAGTTCAAGCGCAAAACCATTCTCACCACGTCCCACGCCTTCCCGTACATCAAGACACGCATCAACATCATCCACAAAGAGGAGGCAAGTGAAGAGTTTTCACATGATGTTTTTATGGACTAATCTTCCAGTAATTACTCCATTATGTAAGGGATTTCTAAGTCCATGAAATTTTAGCAAGATTTGAAAATGCTTATTACAGTTTCCTCAACTCAGTCATACCTTCACTGAGTCTATAACAAAACATGAAACAGTCTGTTTGTTATCAAACACATGTTGTGCTTAACACTACATCTTTGTCACTCTCCAGATCATCTCCACACCCATCGAGGTGGCGATTGAAGACATGCAGAAAAAGACTCAGGAGCTGGCCTTTGCCACTCACCAGGACCCCGCTGATGCCAAGATGCTGCAGATGGTGCTGCAGGGATCAGTGGGCACAACTGTCAACCAGGTAAGGTTTGATTAAGCCAGTCATATTTAATGGCAAAAATAACTTGTAGGTTTTTCTTTCTGTTTTCTTGTGGGGATAAATACAGTGACAGATGTGTAATTGTGTTCTTGGTGTTCCTCAGGGTCCTTTGGAGGTGGCTCAGGTGTTCCTGTCAGAGATTCCCAGCGATCCAAAGCTGTACAGACACCATAATAAGCTACGGCTCTGTTTTAAGGACTTCACAAAGAGGTATGAGGGGTACATGGTTAATAGGATAGTAAATTGTAATACTTCAAAAGATAAAAATAAATAAAAAAGGCAGTAAAAGATGGTGGAAAATATTTCATGGATTCTTCTACCAAAGGTGTGAGGATGCCCTGCGTAAAAACAAGAGCCTGATTGGTCCGGACCAGAAGGAGTACCAGAGAGAGCTGGAGAGGAACTATCACCGCCTGAAGGAGGCGCTGCAGCCTCTCATCAACAGAAAGATCCCTCAGCTATATAAACCTGTACTGCAGGTCAACTCACACAGGTAGGACTGGGCGAGGACACAGTGTTTGTGTGTGTTTGAGTGAACGATGTTATGGGTGTGAAATTAAAACCGTCTTTGTTTTTGCCTCTGTAAAAATCATGCAGCAAACGGACAGCTTGACCAAGGTAGTTTGTGATTTTAGAACATATTTTTGTGACTTTGTTGTGAGTCTTTGTGGTTTTTTGGATTGTGTTGTTTTCTATGGTCCTTACTGATAACTAAAATACTTTCAGTGTAAAGATGTGTTCCAAAAATCAAGATTATTCATGTAGATGTGTCTTTTAAAGAGATAGTAGTTTTTTTTTTAAGTAGAGCTGTATTAGTTAAGGTCCTCACACACCGAGGCCGACACGAATATAGAACGTGAAATTAAGAAATATCCAGAGGAGAATTTTGACGCGCCTGACTGTACACATCAAGCCCGATGCGATTTTGCGACTTTCCGGGGGGAAAAAAACGCATCCCAGGGAAGATGTTTCCCAGTGAAAGTCCCGCCTCCTTCGCCTCAGCACTTTTAGCCAATCAGAGGCGATAGGATAAGCACATGAAACCATGGTAACAACCGCTAGCTTACGTTAGCACAGATGAAAGTTAAAACAAAGACGTTTAGCAAACTGTTAAAGCACACAAAACATCGTCATATGAGAAATCCGACGCTATGACTCTCCACAAGTTGTCCTTCAGGTCATTACCTTTGTAATATTTGTGTTTTTTTATCAAAAAGCACTCTGTTCTCCGACACGTAAACGATCAGCCGGTCGGCCATGTTGGATATACCAGTGAATCTGACGTCGCAACAACACGAAATCTGATTGGTCAGAAGTGGACACAAGGTATGCGAAACTTTAGAAAATTAGACCATGATACGAAAAAATAAATGCCGCAATATCACAGGACGGGAAAACGTCGCTGATTTGAACGCTTGTATTGACAGGATGAGGGTTCGAAAAAAAAATATTGACGTCGAAATAATCGCACGAAAAAAACGGTCCCGGTGTGTCAGGACCTTACCTCATTCAACTGCTCCAAAAATTCTGAACTAGCCCTTGAAAATTTACAATACGATTTTTAACTGTTTTTTCACAGAATCACCATTTTCTTTTTATTTTATACTATATTGTATATTGTATTCCTGAGGGGTAGAGGGTGTTTTTTGTTTACCTTATTTTTCTCTATTTTTATGTCAAAAAAAGTCACTGAAACTGAATGTATTCTGGCCCAAATGTGCAATAAAAATAAAATATTCAGTCACAAAAAAAAACAATACTATTAATATTAACTGGCCACAAAGAATCAATGACTGAAGATGATAACATTAAATTTAGAGTAAAATCAAACAGCCATGACAAACTGGACCAACCAATTCTTCTTGGAGTAAAACCAGATCATCTTCCTCTTTGTAACTAAATCATCTTTTTCTTATTTCAGGGATTCCTTCAGCAGAATGAGTCTTCGCAAGCTTGACATATGAAGATGAAGCCACACAAACACTTTCACACACGCACACACAAACACACACACATTAGCACAAACACACGACAGAAAATTGCAATATTAATTTATTCTTGACTGTACATAGGAGTGTGTTCAAAGTTGGTCAGTGTTTCAGAGAGCGTACTAAAAGGAAGACTAAAAGTGTTACGGCTTGGTACGTCATTCCAGTGTCTTAATTTGTTTACAGACGGTTACACGAGAAGGTCGAACAAGTGGATCTTAAAGATTAGACAGATACCTTGGCATTTTGCTTTTTTTTTTTCTTTGTCAAACAAGGAAACAGGTTTATCATTTCCTCTTAACCATTGAATAAAGGCGATCAGTATAAGCTGGTACTTCTGAATCCAACGTAGAAACCACTGCTGACAACGAAAGCTCTGACATCCCTTTATTGGTGTTTTAAAGGTGCCAAAAAGACTTATTCTTTCCGCCATTTTTTGACAAGTATCTGCAGAAAAGGTACAGTTTTAAAAAGTCAAGGTGTCTATTTAATAATGAACTATGTGTCAAAAAAAATCTGTATTCAATTTCATGTGTGCACTTTTTTTATTACCGTGTAGCAATGCATTTTACAACTTGAAAGATTATGTAATTCAAAAAAAGAAAACATGCAAAAAATGGTACCATTATTTATCATGATGCTTTATTATTATTATTATTTTCAGTTGAAAGAATGTTTTAAAGTTAGGTACTTTAAACATCCTTGTATAATTTTATGTAGTTTTGTTTTGTTTATTTTAAATATTTTACTAAATAAATATTTTAATGTGCAGTCGCTGGTTTTCTTCCTGCTTTCTCATGTTTGTTTTTGTGTTGGATTGTGATACATAGGAAGCGTCAGAGTGGTAGGATGTGAGCTAGAGTGCCACCATGATTGGCAACACTAGAAAGGATCAGCAGGGAGGACATGTGAAGGTAAAAACTTTATTGCTTACAGTATAAACCTGTTATCGGTAAGCTTCATACAGCTGGAATGAGGTACAGTCAGAGAAGGAAGCACACATATTGAATCTGCGGACACTTTGAACCAGCTTTTAACGCCGAAACTCAAAACCCTCCCAGTGTGTTTTAAAGGAAAAAACTCTACACCATCCATATTATTCATCATTTAGTGCTCAAAATTAAACTCCTGGAAAAGAAGAAATGATTTGACTTAATTATGCTGCTGTAGATCCTGAGATGGGCAATGTCGAGCTCAGTGGAAATCCTTGTTCAACCAGAAGTCATTATTAGCACTCAGACTTTGAAACACAAACAACATCCTGAAGTGAAAGACGCATTTGTGTCTACTTTATCTTTATTTTTCTCACCCTCTTATTTTTCTTCAAAGTGATTTAACAAAAATGTTTGAATTAAACTGACATCTTTCTGGAAATACCAACACATCTGCTGAAAAAAACACAAACATTTGGAAACTTCAAAGTGTAGTAATGAGATACATGAGACAATGAATACAGAAAGGAAGTGCAGCCACGTACTACCCATATGCGTCTTTACCAAACTGGTTTCACTGGTTCTGTTCATATTCTTTCAAACTATCTACCACTGTTGCCATGCTACAAAGTCATATTTCTGTATTTAAAATGACCATGTCTTTTGGACCCTAAATTTGAACCAGGAATAAAAAATAAAAAAAAGAGGAAAAAGTTCTCAGTGACAGATATTTCTGTTTGGATTGCATTATGTTTATTATTCTCTTTTCAGGAAATTCACCAATTGGTGATGTCACAAATTGAGCAAATCCCGTATTCCTCTTGTATAATTCTCACAACAATCTGACAATCTCATCCTTGGGTTCAAATTGAAGCTCTGTCCGCAGTTAGAACTGACATCCAACATTTAAACTCCAAATAAATTTATGAATACCACTTCTTAAGAAAGCTAAAGTCCCACAAAAAGTTAGCTTCAAAAGGTTATTTTCTTGAAATGTATGATGTCCACGTGGAGAAGAAACTACTGCTAAAACCTTTTTATTATCAACAGTGCTCAGAAAAATGTGTGAAATCAGTTCATATTTGTAAATGTTTTAAAACTTTGTTTTAGTGTGTTGGGTTTTAAAATATACTGTAAGTTTTCCCGAGATATGTTCTTCATGCCTGGTTGTAAAAAGCAGTGCATGGGACCTTAAAGATGTTAGTTGAGGAGGTGGGAAAAACACCATAATAGAGAGTTTTGGGAGGTATTTTGGCTTTTATGCAGCTCAGAAAAATACTTCTAACATTCTGTGTCTGTCGTTCAAAAGTGCTTCTCTCTAATTTGTAAAAATTGATCCGTACAAACCGAGTACTGTGAAACATGAAAAAGAGGATGTCAGATCATGACAGACCAGTGTTGAAAAAAAAAAAAAAAAAAAAAACAGTAGCACAGGCAGCAAAAAGACGAGCCACTGTACTTTGTCTACAGAGGCAAGAGCAACATCCCAAAAAAAAACAGACATCCCTGGCATGTAGGAAACAACACCCTTATTCCTCTGAGTTCACTTCTTTGGGCCCAAATCGGCTCATTGACATCTCTGAGGTGAGTCCTGCTGTGAGTCCATGAGACATAATTTTCAGGTCCCGACATGGCAGCTCAGTCTTTTTGGCACCATTAGTAGTATTGCAAAGAAAACAGCTGTTCTCTGTGAGTACTGGCACAACCCCCCTGAGTCGGCAGCAGTTCATGTGTTCATATCTCCGTTATTAAGGCTCAGGGTCAGGCACCCTCCTGTAGAACAGCAAGTAAGGAGTCGACGAGGAGCATGTTTCAGGAGAACACGCCTCCAGAAAGTCCTCCGTCTCGAACAGGCGCACCTCAGAGTCGTCGAACAGCATCCATTTCCCCTCGTATTTGTGGAGGTTGTTCAGAGCTTGCTGCTGGCTGGTCTCTGCTCCATCAGAGGAGGTGCTTGATGACTCCTTTTCTCCGGCTGCAGCCTCGGGCTCCTTCTGCAGCCCTGCTTCAGTGTTGTGGCTCAAGCTGTTGATAGTTTTCCTCCGTTTGGACCCCTCTGTCGCCCCGCTATTAGCTGCCCTCTCTGTTTGTTTGCCGCTGCTGTTCCCAAGATCATAACCGGACAAACTCCTCTGACCTCCCAAGAGTCCCACTCCCCCCTCGGACAGCTTCTTGCCTCCTGTTTTATTGTTCGCCAAACCAGCTCCCCTCTGTCCCTTAGCTCCGAGGCTGAAAGACACCTCTCCATCATCATAGTCCAGCACTTCCTCTTTCACCTCCTTAGCCCCCTTCTCCTCTTCCTCCTTCTCTTCTGTTTCTTTTGTGTCCTGCGGCCACAGCTTCACGTCTTTCAGGTCGGACATGTGGACGTAGGCGGTGTAGTGACCGCTGCTGATGGTGACGCCGCTGTGCATGACGACGGCAAACAGCTGATAGTTCTGACCCTTTTTGGACGACGTCTGGGTGCACCACTCATCCAGAGACAGCATCAGAGGGGTCTGCAGGGGAGTGTTCACTTTCGACAAGCCTGCATACGGGTCCAATCTGTGAGGGACACAGATCAAAATAATATTATTTTAACATAAATGGTCTTCTAACAGATATTTTCCTCCATGTAAGCCTTTTGAAGAGTCAAAGAAACGAAATAGGAGGATTTCTAAAAGAAAAAGACAGGTGATCCACTCACTCTAAGCCGTTCGCAGAGAAGCGCTTCAGGTGAATGGTGATCACTTCGGGGGTTTTATCAAACAGCAGACTTCTCTCGGCCTCTGTGTAATGGTGACACGTCTCGCAGAAGTATTTGTCCTCTCCTACGATGCGCTCCACTGAAGCAAACTGACCGATGGCCCACTTTAGAGTCTTCAGCTCTGGTTTGGGACTGGGAGAGACTGGAGGAGACATTGATGAATGGTTACTTTTTACATTCACGACATGCTTTTATATGAAATTTTAGTTGAACAACTAAATCATTTATGTTTGCCTCGGTTAATTCTCATTTGCCTTTTTAAGTCCTTTTAGGAGTATCAAACCAGGCAAGGTAAGTTTCATTTTGAGCGCTATTTTCGCTTGCAACCGGACGAGAAATTCACAATTTTCTTTGTTTTTGTGTCTTTGCTTTTCACCTGGTGTCTATTTACCAGGAGAAAAAGGGTAAAGTAACCTACCCTCAGAGAGGTCTTCTGGACTGCTGGGTTGCTCATCCAGCACGGGGATGCTGATGTCCTGAAAGTCCTCTCTCCTCTCTGTGAAGCTCTCACACTCCAGACAGCGAGTCCTCAGAACCAGCTGCCCCTGAAACAAACGCTCCATCAGGTCCAAATCATCTGGACGAAACAGAAACACAGAGGGACGTGGCTGAGTGAAATGCCGTAGTTTGTTTCTGCAGTCACATTAAAAGCACTGATGCATTTTCATTTCAGCACAGCGGTTACATTCAGTCCAAGAAAAACTCTTTTCTTTGCATTTTTAAAATCAGTTCACTTTTCTTTCTCCATACCTTTATGTTTTACTGTCTTCTTGTCCTCAGACTTGTTTCCTGGAGGTTTCTCCTCTCCGCTCTTTTCCTCATTACTCTTGTCGTCCGTGGTCCCGTTCTCCTGCTCTTCTTTGTTTTGGCTCTTTGAGGTCATGGAGCTGATCTTGCCCACGCTGCGGAACTTGGAGAAAATACTGGGTTGTTTCCCAGAGGGCCTCAGCCAGCTCAGCTTGGCCTTCTTCTTCCTTTTACCCTCTGACTCTTTTGTGTTCTTTTCATCTTTCTCCTCACCATCACTCCCTTCGTTCTCCTTCCTGTTTGGTTTCTTCACTCTTTCCTCCTCTGGCTCCTTCTCCTTGTCTTTGTCTTGGTTGCTATCGAGCGTAATTTCACTGGAGGACTTCCTTTTAGAGCGCCTGAGGGGTGCGTTTCGATTCACACTGCCCTCCTCATCTTCAGATTTCTTGGTCTTGACTGATTTGGGCTTCTTTTTGGCGTTTCCCACTTCAGTGTCGCTCTTTCTCTTGCCGCTGACTTGCCCATCCTCCTCTGTGGGAGTTGTAGTTTCTGAAGCAGAGCTGGGATTCTCACATTTAACCTCAATTACTTCTTCACCATTTGTTGACTCCTGGTCTTTCCTGATGGTACAGCAAGCCTCATGGATGTATCCCAGGATGCACTGCAGCACCTCTTGGGCGTCATGCTGGAGGAAGCCTTCATACATAGGATTCAGCTGCCTGAAACACACAGAGTCGAAACAACAGTTAATAAATACAAAAATAATTGACTGTTTCGGCTTCAAAGACATTAACCTGCTATCACAAGTTTGATTTTCTAAAAGTTGAAACAGGCTAGTTACAGAAAATAGTTGAAGATCAGCCAGACAGGATAAGAAGTGTATTCTTTATATACTATGGGCACTTATCTCCGTCATTTTCATTTTCTGTAAGTGTTTTGCAGCTTATAAGATTCAAATCAAGCATGGCGTCACCTGAGAGTGTGGAGAATCTTTCGAGGTGGTGTAGCGAGTTCTCCTTCGCTGAAGCTCTCAGGGTTCAGCAGGAAGCTTGTCTGCAGCTGCTCCACTGATGATATTAAACTGTTGAAGCTCCCGAGGAGCTCGATGTGGGCCGGCAAAGCCTCAGCTGCAGCTTCTGACTGCTAAAAAAAAAAGTGTACAGGCATAATTTACCACCAAAATACTCGGTGAGTGTTAATGGTTCAATCTGTTGTGTTTCTTTTAACAAAATGAGATTTGTATTGTACCCACCTCTTCACACTGATCAGTTTTCTCCTTTATTTTGTCATTTCTTTTAGAAAGGTTGAACAGGTTCTTGATGCCCCCTCGGAGACCAGGGCAGTAGTACAGAACCTGTAAAAACAAAAAGACATCATGTTTTTACCGCAACGTCTTTTAAAAGCATCTTCCTGTGCAGAAGCTCGAACAAGCTTCCTGAGCGCCATGTCTGCAGTGAATCTTTTGTGTTAGTGCTACAAATAAGCTCTGCCCTGTGGCTACAGAAACTCTGTTAACATATTCACATGTTTTTCTTGCTCATCTGTTTGCTCTACTCGACATTTATCAGGGTTTCATCCATTTTAAACTGTCAAATCAAACAAAAAAACATCAATACAAGTGAAATCCAAAGACAAAAGTCAAGAAAATGTGTTGACGGTTTGATCAACTTGTGATTTTTACATTTTCAGAGGCGTTAATATCAAATAAGATTTCTTTGTATAATCCAAATTTATGTCTTGGGTACTTGTCGATAGTCTAACAATCACACCTTTTTAAATAATAAAAACTGCCCAGTGTTATATATTTGATATAAATCTAATCTTGGATGATGGCTCACCTGTAGCACACTGTTCAGATAGCAGGTGTTGCCCAAGTTGTTGAGCCCCACAAACGGCACCAGGCTCTCCCTCTTCTCACAAGACAGGGGGACGCCAGGCGAGGCTGGACATGGAGGAGGACCAGGGACCACCTGATCACAGCTGCTCAAATGTTGGGGGGATAAAACATGAATTAAAAACTCCTAAGCACATGATTTCTTGGTTTGTAGCTGAACTAGAACACCTGATTTATTGGCAAGAAAGTTTAGTAGACTCATGTGGCCGAAAAAAAAAGGCTTGTGGTGACTCTTTGGGTGGTCCAGTGTGAGGATTACTGTGGTTTTTAAAGCCTTGTCATGCATCTGGACTAGTATATAACTAGAAATGTATATTTAAAATGTGATTTTTATTTGACATTCTGACATCAAAACTAGGGCCCGACCATGTGGATTTTTTGGGGCCGATGCCGATTAATATGGGGGGAAAAATCTGATTACCGATTAATTGTCTGATTTTTAAAATTTCTTCTGAAGTTATAAAAAATAGATTATTGCTGTAGATATATTGTAGGCTACTGCTCTTCACGCCGACAGGAAGACCAACTGATCAAACTCAGACCAGAAAAGTGTTTTCAACTCTGCATTATATTTATGAAAATATCGGCGAAAATCGGCGAGTTTTAGCCGATTACTGATTAGTCTCAAACAGGAAAAAATTGGCCGATTTAATCGGCTCGCCGATTAACTATTGAGTAAAAAAAATGAGGCAGCTGCTTCATGTTTCTGCCTCCATAGTGTTTTCCGTGACCTCTTTCTGGCTTTAACAGTGCACTAAACCTAAGAGAGCGACTGAATGACGACCTGCAGCCAATTACTCATCAGCAGCCAACCACACCTCTCTCAGGTCAAAAGAAGAGAGAAAGCACGCACTCACCTGGCCTCAGGCTCCTCTGGCTCAACAGTTTTTTGCTCCTCTGTTTGAGATTCAGAAAAATCCAGAGTTCGTTTAGTTTCTTTCTTCTGGAGAAACTTCAGGGACAGTTTGCTCTTCCTCATGGGGCTGCCGAGCGCCGCCACAACATTTTCACCCTGCAGGCCAGGCATCTTCTTTATTTTGTACCCTGGAGGGATTTTCCCCCTTTTCCGCTAGGATGCAACAGCGCCCCCCACTGGCGAGAGAAGAGAAGACAGCTGCGTTTTAGAGGGCGCCATCGAGAGTTGAACTGGAATGAAAGTAACTACGCACTTGAGATTCGACTGCGCACTAAAGGAACTACAAACAAACTCGATGTTTTAAGTTAGTGCAGAGAGCTTTAGTGAACTTAATCCAACAAATTCACGCTCACTTAACAACCCATTACATAACATATTAGCTGGCTAACGTTAACGCTCACTGACAGCCTACTCTAATATTCGTTGTCCTTAGCAACGGCGGCGACCGTTAGAACCGACAAGCGTTACGTTCAAAGCGTCACTGTGTTAGTTTTAGCAGCAAAAAGCGTGAATTTAACGACTTTTGTTGAGTACTTTACAGACAACACTGACTAAACTGGGTCAAAACGGTGAGGTGAAGAAGTGGGAGGGGAAAACAGACAGCACGCCGCTTCTAACAGTTCCTCGACCGAAAACGAGCTCTCAAAACCCCCACAAAGGATTAAAGCTGGGTGAGACTTACCTACAGGAGTCATTCCATGTCAAAGTTTGATATACTTCTTTACAAAATATTCCGTCCCACGGCCATTTAGACAAGTATTAGGTGATTCACACGGCACAGCAGAAGTTGGCGCTTTTTCCTGAAGGAAGACCCGCTGGCTGCTACACCGCCCGAGAAACACCGGCACGACGTGGAAATATTGAGCGAAACTGTCGCAAAACGGACCCCTCTAGGATTTCAAACGTATCTTTTGTATAGATGAATCGCGTGAAAATCAAAGCAAGCCATTGTAAAACAAAAAAACGGAAAATGCCTCGCGCTTCAAATTCTCAGGCCAATCTCAGGACAGCTATTCATTTTAGGACCCACTATACAAATTAAGGCGCCATGTTTGTAGTCCTCTACCCATAGCGTCAAGTTAGAATGAGTTTGGTTGCTTTCTCCTTCAAAATAAAAGTGGCAATTAATTTATTCTGTGTACTGAAATGTTTAATTGTTAAGACGAAGAAGTGATTTCACGCCTTATGTGGTCATATGTCGCTCTGAAAATGGATGAATTTTCTCTTGTTAAATCGTTACGTCCGTCGTCGTCGTATATCGTTACAAAAAGCACTAAATTAGCATTATTTTTGTAGCAATATTATGTTTCCTGGCATTACTCTTAACCAAACCGTATTCTATTACCCGAGTAAACTTCAAGACTTAGTTTATAAATGGCAAAGACTTAGTGCCGAACTTATTGTTTTATTTTGTAGTAACGGAAACAAATAACAGCAGTATTTCATTGGAGTTGTCAATTTTGATAAAAGCCCACTTTATGGAAATAAACAATGTTAAACGACTACTTTATACTACCGAGGGCGTGTTTCTCAACATTTATCCTGCACTCATGAAATAGATTTGGGCTATTATCTCAAAAAACACAAACACACGCCTTCATCTCATAACCTCAAACCATGAACTGCAACTACCTGCAGTGTCCAGCTTCAGTCAACAGGGGGCAGCATTGACCGTAAGACCGCAGAATGAACTGTCCAGCATCATACCCACTTCCACTGGAGCATCTCCTCCTCTGACAGGCAGCAGAGACTATCCTTCCACGATCTTAAAGGTAAGATACTATATACAGTTTTTCGTGTTTCTTCTTGAACAGACAGCTCACATCCGTGTCTACATGTGTTCCACCGTTCTGTCTCATTTCATCTCTGTTTCGTGTGTTTTCTGCTGCCAGTTGTAGTGTGTTGGTTTTAGAGGGCTGCGGAGTGTTGTTGCTGACGTGCGTTTTCATCATATAGGGAGGATGGTTGTACCTGAATGCAGTGCAAAAATAAGAAATGACTGATGTGCCTTTTCCACCTTGCATGCAGCTAGTGTAAGCATCTGTCAGTACGGTGGTATGTATGTATGTGTGTATGCAGGACGAACCTCTGCTGCTGCTGCTGCTGCTGCTGCAGAGTGGCTGCTTGCTCAGCAGCAAAGATGTATCGATGGACAGGAGCTACTCCTTCCAGAATCCACTTATTTCCTGGCTGAGATCAAGTGATGTTGCTGCCAGTATGCTGATTCAGTAGTGAATGGGAGTAGTTTGGAGGTACAAGACTCCCTGTAGGGCTGAAGCCTCCTGAGCTGTGGTAGTGATGGAGCTACAGCATGTTATCAACATCACCATCATCATCTGAGTGTGATATCTTTGCTATCTCCAGCTCTGGGTTGCATTTGACAGTACATTTCCAAACTAAAGGGTTGTACTCGAACCATTCAAATGTGGTTATAATCATCCTGCTACCCCACAGACGATGTTTCATAATTGCCGTGATGGAATAGATTTCATTACAGATGTAATAACCAGCAGTGGATTTACTCAGATTTAACAAGGGGGACTGGTGGGAGGTGCTCTTTTCTTTCATATCCCAATCCAAAACAGAGTAAGGAGATGTGCTGTAGAGGGGTATTACCGTGTTTCATCTCCATCACCACCCTCAGATAACATCATTTTCTCAAGGGAAGGAGTTTTTGCTCTTACTTTGAACAGGGCAGATCCAGTCATTCATGTCCTGACTTAGATACTATGCAGTGATATCCACCAAAGGTCTGGATTCAGATTGTTTAATGCATGACACGCAAGACTTTAAGACACGGAAGAAGTAACCCTTTACATTTGAGCAATACAATTATGGCAGAAATCTACTACTACTATTACTACTACTACTACTACTACTACTACTACTACTACTGCTACTACTACTAATAATGATAATAATAATAATAATAATAACTATTTTTATAGCACTTTTAAAAACAGAAGTTTACAAAGTGCTTTGACAAACAGTCGTAAAGCATAGAACATCAGCACATGGAAATAAAAACAAATAAAAAACAAAAGCTCAGTTAAAAATAAGGCCTCCAAATTGAAGGCTACTTTAATTTGTCATAAGAAACCCAGACAATACAAGAACCCTGCAACATAAAATGAGATCATGAGGACCAAAATAAAAACATAAAATAGGTAAGAAAATGAAATGTCATAAAAATGGGGGTAGAAAGCAGGAAACAGGATAGTAAATATAGAAAGACAATATTAATAATGATAATAAAATCATAATGATGGTAATATTAATGATAAAATGGAATAACAAAAATGGAAAAAACATTAAAATCAATAAAAGGCCTAAAAGGTTAAGATTATAAGTAAAACAACGGCTGAAAGGACAATAAGTCGAAATAAGAAAGAGGTAAAAGAGATAAAAGAAAAAAGAGAAAATATGGCATCACATAAAAGCAAGTCAGTAAAAGTGATTTTATTAAAGTTTATTAAATTACACAATTTGTATCCCCTTTACTCTGCATGCAACCATTCAGACACATCGCCCCCTACTGGCTGATATCACAGGAATTTAACCCCTAACCTGCAGTTGTAATGAGGGCCATTCTCCATGCGCTAAGAGAGGAGCTGGTCCTTATCAAGGCCAGCTTTGTCCCAGGAGGCACAGAGCAGCAGAGGTTGGCATTGTGGCAGCTCAAAGCCTTGGCCCATGACGTGAAACGACCCCCACCCACCACCACCTCCTGCCTCCCTTCACCTTCGCTCCGTGCAAAGGGACACTGGAGAGTAAATGAAAGCATGTTGAGCGACAGGCAGTGCTGCACTGCAAGAATGAGAGGCACGTCCTGAAGTTGAGTTTGGTTTACCACTGAACAACAAAACCCTCTGTGCACATGTGGGCATTTTTTTAAAGCAAAATTAACCATTGCATCACAGTAAAACCTGCAAGGATCTGCGCATTTACAATGCACGATAATGGATTTCTGCAAGTATCCGGTATGGTGGTATTGTCAAACTCATTTCGGCCCATCCTGATGTCAATTCAAGTACATCTTTAGCCTACAGAGGCCCTGCAACACCTACTAAAGCCAATAAAGAGCAGTGAATTCAGTGATAGTTTATTAAGTTCTTTTACCTTTGGGTGGCTGCTGCTGCTAACTGTCTTAGCTCTGTCTAATGGCTGAAGTAGAAGTAGTAGTAATGGCTGGTTTTGGAGTTTTTTTACTGGCAAACCAAGACTTTTTTATTGTTACTTTTCAGAAAAACCCTTGCTGCTGCTGCCATACAGGATGACAGTTCTCAAGGTTGAGAATCAGAAATGTAGTTTGAAGGATGTATTGTTTTGCTTCTCCTTGCATCACCTGTGCTTTGTAAGCAGTTGCCATTTTGCCGTCCATTTCCAACACTTTAAAATACTTACATCATGAAGCTAACCCTAAGCTGTCAAGCTAAGAGTAAATATAAGAATAATACATTTATATTTTAGGATGCATTCACATAACCCATGCAAGGCTTTGTTGCAACCACTCAAAAAAAATCAAACACCTACTCTCTCGTAAACAGCAGATGTAGGTATTTAAACTTCTGTAATTGCTTTATGGTCCGTTTTGGTGCCCCTATGTGGGGAAAAAGTTGTCTTTTTGCTTATCTTTGCCCTCGTCATGCTTAGGTAGTGTCGTTTGACATATTATCCCAGCCTGGTGACTTTTGACAGTCTAATGTATTATTTTTGGTGACTTTTCTTCAGCTGTCCCACTGATACCTACCATCCTTATGGTCTATTTTGCTTTTGTTTATCATAAGATAACATTAATATGCATTTTAGTCTATTTTTTAAATGCCAAAAATCACTCACTGCGGCTTTAACTAAACAAACAAGGCACTTTCTTTGCTACTGAGCTTCAGCAAAGTTGACAAGCAGTTTTTTCTGATTTTCAGATACAGCTAAGCTAACTGTTGCTAATTTAAGCTAACCCTCTGTCATGTGCTTACTCTTCAAATATTGGATGCACCCATGTGAATATTAATCAATATCCAGCGATCAGATTTTGGATTATATTTTGTGGATTCAATGGGGACATTTTTGAAATAGGGCTCGTTCTGCAGCTTCTCAGCTGACACCCTTCTCCTCACGCTGTTTAATGCATTAAAAATTATGATAGAAGTCATTAATAAATATGTTGCTCAGACTATTGTTTGCGAATGTTGAAAATCTCCTCACAAGAGCTTTAAACAGAGACACACAGCTGGTTCTGAATGTTATTAAAGCTCCTGTGTGAACTTTTTAGCTGGTTATGAAACAGATTAGAGTTAATATTGATGTGTCTGTGAATTTAAAAACAAACTGGACCATAAATGAGAGGCGAGGTGTCAGACCAGGTAATAAACTGCATGCTGCTCTTTTCACATGTTACACAGAAGAGATTCTCAATGAGAGATTCATAATACCAGTAAAAGAAAGCAGGATGAGATTTTGTGTCAAACTAAAAACGTCCTCAAAGGAGCTTTAAGTTGAAAAATGCTAGACTTTGGTAGCTAATGGAATAACTTCAAAAAACTGACTGATAATTTGAAACAGGGATCTGTTAAACACCAATTAGGCAATGTAGAAACAAGTAAAACCTGAGCTGGAGAGAATTTTCTCCATCTCTTGTTTATTTAGAAGTATAGCAGGAAACCTGGAGCGGTGAAAGTGAACATTTGAACTCATAGGTTGGAAACCGCGGCATTAATTACCTTGTTTATTTTCAGATCTCTACCTCAACTTAACATGATTTACTACGAGCGTAAAATTCAGCTCATTAGTAGCTGTTTTTTGCTTTACTCTCTCATGAGCAAGTGTATTTATTTTCCCTGAGAGCCCCAGCAGACAGGCTCTGCTCAGACTCAGCTTGTGTGTGTGTGTGTGTGTGTGTGTGTGTGTGTGTGTGTGTGTGTGTGTGTGTGTGTTTCTGTCAGTAGGAGCAGGTTAATGAGATCCTTCATGAGTGTGTGCATGTGTGCATAACCCTGCATGCATATGTGCATATAGCAGATTAGATCAGATTGCAGGCTGGATTTAGGATTCCTCTCTCTCTCTCTCTGTCTCTCTCTCTCTCTCTCTCTCTCTCTGCATACTTTGGAGCATCTGAGCGTCTCCTGCTCCTCGTTGCACGCCGCTGAGGTGGGTGTTTCCAGTCCAGCCGCTCTGATGTTAGGAAGCAGCGGCTCCTCCATCCTACTCAGTCTGCTCTCTCCTCTCCCTGCTCTCCTGTTTCAGCCAGCCTGTCTGCCCTCTAGCGTAGTACTCTCCTTTCACTCACCGCTATTCATCACCATCTAGGATACATTTACACATACCCACGCAGGTAGACAGACAGAGTGCCGTCCTTGTGGACTGAAGAGTTTGGCTGGTAGTTTAGGATTTATGTACATTAGTTTGGAAATAGCCAAAAAGTGTGGATCTGTAGTTCTCTCCCTTCACCACGTTTTTTTGCTCCCAGAGGATACTTCACGCAGCTGCAGAGGTAAGAGAGGGATAGATGTGGTCTGCACTTTTATCTCGTTCAGACTGTCTTGTTGTCCTCGCTCAGCTCTTTATTTAGTGCATCTCCTCTTCTGCGTCTTTGTTGCTATTTATTTACAGGCTTTCTGTTTCCCTTTCTTCTGTTTCCTCCTCTTTGAGTCTGAATGCAAGTTCTTTTTTGGATAATTTTTAGAGTCGAAATTGTATTTTTAAACCAGCACACCTTCATTGTGGAGGTGCGAGGATTAATCGATGGAAAATAAATTGGCTGCCAACAATTTTGATGAAATATGGATGAGTTGCTCCAGTTATTTTTCAAGCAGAAATTACAATCACTTGAAGGCTGCAGCTCCTGAAATTTTAAGGGTTTTCAGCTGTTCTTTGCATGTATAAAAAAGAGCCTTTGGGTTTTAATTGTTAGCTGGAGAAAAGAAGAAAAGGGATGTGTGTTTTTAGACTGTCTTTCATGCCAACACATTGATTTAGTAATTAGACATTTACTTAATAATGTTCTTACTGCAGCCATATTTGATACATCTGGTCTATTTTTAA